GGAACAATAGAGAGATAAACCAACGAATACATCATATTTTTTAAAAACAGAGTGTGTATTGATTTATGATTTTACTTTATGGCACTTTTTTTTATCTATTCATGCTCTTGATATAGTATTGTATCTTGGTTCTTCCTTTCGTCGGTGGAATGGCTTTATCTATCAATTGCCTTATGCTTGCTATCAATCCATCCATGCACACATTTATCGTAGATCTTTGTTATCGAGTTCCATATTGGAACGCTATAATTTGGTTTGTTTTCCCAATCAATCCAATAATGATGATAATGCGGAAGAGACGTATCACATAGGAAAAACTTCGTTTTTTCTGTTTCCATTTTCATATCACACACACATTCAATACTCCTTTTGAAATGAAATAGATGAAAAATTGGGTGATAATGTTCGATTTTACAAAATATGATTGTCTATTATTCATTTTACAAATGTGACCATGTTCGAGGTAAAATTTTCTGTAAGTAATCGTTTGAATAATTTCATTTTAAAACCAAAACGATGATGATGAAATCTTTCGGAAATAGGACCTTATGCCGTACCATTGGACTGAGACATACAGAAAATAAAAACAAAACGTCAAAATGAAATATTCAATTTAGTATATTTCATTAGGCAATTTCTTGGAAAACAAGGAATACAATTAACAAATTTGGTCATAAAAACAAAATAACTGCATCTTAGATTTCAGATGGACGCGCGGATGACTGTTTGTTTAATGGTGGTCATATAAAAAGTTGTTTCAGTAAACGATAACATTCTAGGCGATTTTCCATGTGAATCGATAGTTGGAAAAGTTTTTACAGTTCCTCGACTGATTGAAGCCATCATTCTGATGGTGCAAACTTTTCCATTCTTACTCAATCTAGCTCAAGTATAGTTCAGTAAAGAGAACAGGAATCGCTAAACGAAAGCAAGAAAACGTTGATGCAAACCTAAGAAAACTTACACACACACACACACACACACACACACACACACACACACATACACAAAATCACACAATGAGTGAGAAAGCGAAGACAGGAAGAAAACGATAGAAAGAGCGTAAAAGAAAAATTAGATGGGAAATACACAGCTAAATGCCCAAACAGACAAACATCAATTTAGCCACAAGTAAATTGTGTGTCGAGTAGAAAACGAGAAATAAATAGGAATGGATGGGAAGCACATATAAAAGTATTAATGAAATAGATAACTAAATTGTTTGTTTATTCTGTTCTGGTGCTATTGCCACCGATGTTTTCGTTGATGGTGATGATGAAACTGGTGCTTTCGAGTTTCGACTGCAAGCGCACAAATTTTCTAACAATAAATGTTGGCGTAAATTGCAGCATTTTCCAGATCGAACTATGCCGATGATTCTCGGCAAACAGAACTTTTAAAATGCTGCACTTCAATGCGGCCATCGCATTCAAACACATAAAACGCATAACAACGTCGTCTTGAATTTTCACTGTAAAAACAATCGTCCAATTTTATTATTCAGCATGCGGATTGAATTCGCTGGCATTTTTTCTCCATACTTTATTATTTTCTCTTTCGCACCACCGTTGTATTGTAGATTTGCAAAGTGTCCACAATCTGGAGTTTTATTTGTGTGTGCAAGCTTACACACGAGACAAAAAGGGACGAGATTGGATTTATATTTATTTTCTTGTCAGTTCCGATCGCTACCAGCGCACGTACCAGACGAACACATTCAATCGCTTGCTGCAATTCATATAGATGCCAGGGAGATAAGGTACAGAATTGATTCATTCGATTTGAAAATTTTACGGATTCGGCCAAAAAACGGCTTAACATGATGATGTAAGAACAAGCACCGACACAAAAAGATGTGAACGTACAAAAACAATAGAAGACAAGAGCTGCATCAAAATAATTGGAAAAATAAATTTTTCGTGTTGAAACAATTTAGGTATTTTGGCATACGGGAAAAAGAGACAAAAAATGATTTATGCGATGATCTGAAGAACACGCCAACTTTTCCATCACTGCATTTCGTTCTTTTTGAAATTGTTTTGCATAGTTGTGATTACCAAATTGTTACAAAATTCTATCGAATAATTTTAAATGGTGATGCTTTAGCACTTTTGTATCGGTTTCACTCGAAAAAAAAAAATGTTCAAAGTTTTCGGGCCCGTTATTGAATCAAATCCATCTGCCCAGTAAACCTTACTGCGTTTTATACTGAATGCTTGCAACTTGCGAAACAGATAACGAAAAAAATTCAATTACTCATTACGAATCAGGACGCAGCAAAGAATAAAAGAAAATCTTCAAGTGCATTAGCAAGAAACAAGCATTTGTTCTTTCGTTTAATTGAAGAACTCTCAAATTCACTATTTAATCAATAAATGAACTTCTTTTAAACGTTAATTAGACTTTGGTTTGAATCCGATTTAAATTTCTTGTACCAGTAGGTTGGAATTGTCACTTTCACCGGAAATTATAATTTAAGATTTTGTCAACTCTGCCAAAAAGATTGAACAGTTTCAATTATTCGTATTTTTGCTTAAAATTTGCTAGTATCTAATTTTGTTTTTAATTATTGTTTATGGTCAAACATTCACAACGGCTTAAATCACTTATCACTGTAGTTTTTCCAAGTTTCCGCCAATAGCCTTATGTGCTTTGAAGGTAAACCAAGTTGAAATGTGTAATATTTCTGGTGCAAAATTGGAACTACTCTGTAAACGAATTTCTTTCTTTTTTTAAGTAGAAAAATATCCATGTTTTCATTAAATCCAACAAAATTAGTCTCTCGCAAGAGAGATTATGAAATTCAGAAGTAATGGCTTCCGCTATGCAGTGCATCAATTTTCCTTTTGTCTCATTTGCATTCCATTCACAAATGTGTCAACTTAGTGTTTTTGTTGTTAGACTTGAAGCGAATCGTTCCATCTCAAGAAGGAAACTCGCTCTAAAAACCACCATTGCCATTAAAACGATAATAAATATGCATATCTCTTTTGCAATGGATAATTTTAAAGATTTATTTTCCGCTTGAATGGTCACAATAAGCCGCCCAATTTCCACAACGCGCTGCACAGTGCACATACCCAACTAATTGTCGGGTAGAAAATAAAGTGTCGTTCAAAGTTTTCCACTATTTATTTTGTTCACGCTTCACTGTACATTTTTTTCTACATTGGTGCCTTCTGCATAGAAAAAAATATACACGTTACAAAGAATAAATAAAAAAAAATAATTCTTCAACATTACATAACAGCACCATATTCGTGTACACAAAAATACTTGAATAAATTAACTTGAATTTTGAAGTAAGTAAACTTGAAAGAAAGTGGAAAATTCTTGTAAACTTGCAATTTGATGTTGAAAACCAATGAAATAATGTTGTTGCAAAAGTTTAAGAGGCGTAAGTGGTATCTACACAATAAAGACCCAACAAACAAGCCTTATACATTTGCGTCCACAAACTTTTTCTCCTGCCACCGCCAACTCGTTTGATGACAATTTATTGGCAGAGCTTACGATAATGAATGATGTTTGCATTTAGTCGTTTGCTGAATAAACAAATTTTCCAAATATTAAGTCAGGAAAATACATCAAGAGCTTTTCTGTTTTGAAAACAACAAAATGTTATCTGACGTGTTTTTATACCGTGACCTATATCAAATTGCACATTTTATCAAAATATGTGAAATTGACTGTCTTAAATTAAAATTGTCATCAACTCTTCTTCTATCCTGAATAAATTCTCATAAAATGCTCAATTTTCCCGAAAAAAACAGTCAAATAGAATGAATGCATTTACTGAAATGCATTTGACTCGTTGTTCAGTAAACTGAATTAAATTTACCATGGAAAAGAACTGGAAATGGTATTTACTATATATATGCATTGAAATTGGCCTTGGGTAATAACTATACAATCAATTATAATTTTTATATTAAATCGATTTGGCTTTTTAGAGAAACTTAGAAAACAGCAAGTTGACAACAATTGATTGAAAGTTTTCAATACTTAACCATGAGATCAGATGTGCTGCAGCTCGAATATACAGTGATAATATATTCTAATAATTTTCATGAAAATACAGTGATTTCCAGGCTTTATCCTTACGAGAAAAAAAAGAGTATGAAATCTGTATCAAAAAAGATTGTGATTTGGATTACAGATACTAATGCTATATTTATCCAGACATTCCGTATGGCTGCATATTGAGCTGAGCTATTTACAAATAGCTGGCTGTTTGGTACATTTTCATTTTGTGACTATCGAACCATGTAAATTCATGTGAGATGATAAATGAATGACACAAATTCATGGAAAGGATGGAAAAAGGTGTCCCAAATTTATCATCTCACATGAATTTGCATGGCTCGATAGTCACAAAATCAAAATGTACCAAACAGCCAGCTATTTGTAAATAGCTCAGCTCGATATGCGGTCACACGGAATGTCTGTATTTATCATTCAACACTTTGATGCGAAAATTCCCCAATTTGGCACATTTCATTCAAACTATTTTCAGAAAAAGTGATATTTATTCTAATTAATAGTCTCATTGTGTCATGACGCATTGGTTTTTGGAAATTTGGTGCCACTGAGTCTGATTATTTTCCATTGTAGTGTCGTTTGTTTGGCATTATGCCTTAAATAAAATGACTCGAATTCATGTTGTCTTATAATACCACTGTTATTCGATGGCTTTTGAACACACAGAACATAACTTCATTCCTTTATGATTGCTTATGCTGGCATCGGATGCGTAGCTCGTTCGTTCGTTCATTCATTCGAAAATTCGATATTTTTTTATTGAATCATTTGGCAAACGAAAGTTATTGCTGTTTGGCAGTCAGAATGCATTGAGAGAAACGAGAAAACACGAATGAATATGCATACCAGTTTCCAGACGTAGGATAGATGCTTGGCTTTGTTGCAAAGACACAGCGTGTGGCTGGAACGGAAAAAGCTACATGAAATGGGACGCAGGGATGAATAAAATAAAACACACATTTCTTAGTTATTTTGTTAAAAATAAATAACATTACATTGTTGGCTCTGCTTTATTTCGATATCAATAATTCATATTTGATAATATCTTATCATACAATTGTTTGCTATAATTTATTACATTAAGTTATAGTTGCCCTAAACTCAACATATTTTTTTTTATTTCCATTCCATTCGAGTTGTTGATAGTGTTTTTTATTATCATTTTAAATGAACTATTTTGTGTTACAGGATCGAGAGAGAATACCAATCGTACTTAAGTGGAACTCAATTCTTAAACTGTATTGCGTAAATGAAAACCGAATGTACAAAATCTACAAGAGTAGAATGGCCCAAGGACTCGAATCAGCTTCCAAAATGCGAATAAATTGTACTTCTCTAAATTTTGTCTATCGGTTGGTGAAAATAACCAAATGCATTTCTCTGTTATTCCTAGTTTATTTTATGGGAAATTTTATGTAATATCGATTTTCAAGCCTTCTCAAATTGCACTATTTAATTAATCATACTAATTTCTTCAAAGTTCGGACGTGAGATTTTAATTTCACATCTCTGATGTTTCGGAAATGAAGAAATTGAATCAAATAGAATCACCAAAGAATAAATTATAAATAGAAATAAAGTTTTGTTTAATTTGTCATTCGTTATGTGAGAAATGGTTTACGTGAGCCATTATTTACATTTGAATGTGTGAATACAACAGAAAAACTTAGTTTCAACATATTTCCAAATGTAACAACTCCATTTAAAAGTGTGCGGATTTTATGTGGAGATGTTACACTTCAGAATAAATTCAATAATCAAAACTAAGTAACAATTTTGAGCTCACACATTCATTTGGTCGGCCAATTCACTTTTTTACAACATGTATTATATTAGCCATTTACTAGGGCAGATTTTTCACCAATGTGTCCAAAACGCATGAATACGGCATCGCATAAGGCAGTTATCGCATAAATATCGCGCGATAATTTTCTGCTTGCGTTGCCGCAGTATACGATATTTCAATGGCCGTCATCTTGCGACGCTTGCTTGCGTTCGCTTCGTTATATGTGTAAAGCAATTCGAACGTGCGTCGTAAGACGGATATTGAAATATCGTATACTGCGGCAACGAAAGCAGAAAATTATCGCGCGATATTTATGCGATAACTGCCTTATGCGATGCCGTATTTATGCGTTTTGGACACATTGTTTTTCACACATGTTTAAAATGAATGCAAAAACTCTCATAGCTAGTAAATTACGCGTGAAACGCCGCCTTCATTTAACAGGCCCGTTTCTATATAATAAACTCATACGGTGTGTTCGTCATTTTATATTAGGTTCGTATTATAGATAGCTAGCCAGTAAGCCACAGAGGGCCTTATATGTTCTACGTCAAAACAAATTAACATTGTTTCTTATGAATAGCAGTCATCCGCTGGAACAATGTCTAGCTTACAGAAATGAACTGTCCAATTGATATCATTACACAGGTCTAAATTGTGTTACACCATTCGCTATGCGGTCTCTTAGTATTATTTGCATTTAGCACAAATGTTCAATATTCATTAAGCCTCACGTGTGACACTTAATACAGTGTATCAATAATACAACAGCACAAATTTTTACCTGCCTCTGAATAGCGATCTTATAAAATATCATTATTCGATTTGTTTAAACTTAATTATTTGTATATGTGGGACCGATATTTTATATGTAGTTTCATTGAATTCATCTATAGTTTTCATTATTCATTGAGTGTAAGTGTGTATGTGTATGTAGATGTGAACACAGCTACAAATATTAGTTGTTATGAGTGTATTTACATTTAATTCGGCTTGTAATAACAGAAACCAAAATTGATTTTAATTTGTTTGAGCAAAGGCAATGAAAATTATGTAAATTATCAAATCTTCCACTCCTGAAAAATGTTTTAGTGTGTGTTGTTTAATTTATAAATTTTAATCCATTTCTTCTTGAGTTTGTATTCTATAGTCGTTCTCCATGGTGAAATATGGTATAAGTATATGAATTTGGCCACAATGTTTGAGTGTCACTTTTTGGAGAAAGGGTGAGAGCGCCACGGTGAATGAATGGAAACTTTCAACAAACTTGCTAGCATTTAGCCCGCACTAAGTACGGAGTACAAGCCTGTGTTTTGGTTCTGCATTGCATGCAAATATACGGACGACCTACGTGCGGGCTAGTACTTAAGATATGTTCGAAAGTTGTAAATCGCAAATGGACGTAATCTCTTTTAAAACACACAGAAAAATATCTGTAAGAATCTACACGATGATACCAATCAAAATTGGATTTATATGACAAATCGTGTAAAACGTTAAAATATCGTGTAATTTTTAATGTTTCAAAGTTGACGCAAACATTCTCAAGGAAAAATCCAAGTTGACTAAATTGCTTTCTTGGCTCCTACAAAGCATTCGTATTCATATAGAAGTTTGCAGCGCCAAGTGATCGCCAACACTACTTGAAGTAGAAAAAAGCCTTGAAGTGAATTTGACTTGACATTTGGCTACTTCAAGTTGTTTTGGCGCTTACTTGACGCCTTAAACTTATTTAAATTTAAATACTACTTGGTAAGCGTCTAAGTAACAATTTCGTTGGATTTACTTGGATTCTTTCTTGAGTTTGACAGATGCGTATATCGGGTAATATTATTGGCCAATTTCATTGAATTATTTGATATTACACGATATTTCATCGTTTTTACACGATTTGTTATATGAATCCAAGTTTGATTGGTATCATCGTGCAGATTTTTACAGATATTTCCTAGTGTGAACTATTTCAAAATATTTACATTTGTTATTCGATATTTCAGCATCCCGTCGCACACACAGGGAAAAACAACACAACAGAATATTTGCAACGCTGTCTTGCGTTTCATTTCATGTAGGACGCTAATTCAGTACGACATAATGCGGCGGTCAATGAGAAATGCGCGCAAGCGAATTCCGCACAATGCTATCACTATATCTGCCTTATGCGATACTAAAAATATACACTTTGGACACATTGCTTTTTAACACTCGTTCATTAATTTGTTTCTCAGCTCCATAAAGGGATGCTGACCAAGCAAATCTGCGTATGAAATATAGCAACCAAAAACTTTGGGATCAACGTGACTGGGTGTATTAGGTGCGGGATAAGAGCAAATGCAGTCATGACTCGTGGAATTGTGATTTCAGAAAAAAAACATTCCCTGCTGGATGTCATCAAAGCCAACGTCTAATTTTATTCAGCTACAATTTAGACTATTTGTTTATTTTTCACCGTTAGAAGAAGATACGTGTATACCAAAGCTTATAATTTGCTTCTCTCATCATCAAATTGAAAAATATAACCTAACAATTTAATAAAATCCCGTCAATCTGAAATTTTCAATCGATCTCGCGCAAATATAAAAAAATCTTTTTTAAGACTAACGTGAAAATATTTACAGAAATTCAATTTGAAAGTAATGATTACTCAATAATCCTGAGATCATTTACGATACTTTTAAATACAGCATTGCATTGAATAAATTTTGAGACAAAAAACTAATTCAAAAATTCTTGTAATAGACTTAATAAATGAGGGTTTTACTTAAAAACATTGGATATGATCATTGATTTTGCTTAGATAAATTTATACTGTGCCTCTCAGCCGCTTTCGCACGAGTTTAGTCGGTGCTTAGGATATCTTACCTTTTTCGCAGCAGTGTTGATCGGCCAGTCGAAAATAACCATTTTTTTATAAAATTTATTTTGTTAATGGACGTGAACAAAAACTTAATCAACATGATAATCGATTCATTGCGAAATTAATTAGTCGTAAGCACAGTTGCAAACTGATTAACCATATCAGCGAATATTTTAAATGATCGTCAGAAGATGTTTCCGTTGAAATTACTAGAAATTACGGATAAGAGATGCAAACAATGCAATTAGTACTTCAAACACTTACAATAAAACTTCAGAAGAAAAAATTATCATTTTCAAATTAGAATACTAAACAAAAATAAAATGTATAAAAACGATAATGAAAATGTTGATTTTGCTTTTGCTTACCGGCTTACAAATAATAAAAACTGAAATGAAGCAAAGAAATCAATGTGCAAATCTGTGTGAATTTTTCCAGTATGATTTATTTTTGATAAATAATTGGGTCAAAAGTTTGACAAATTGAGTTTTGCTTATTCAAAATAATAACTAAATCAAGTTGAGTGTTTATTTCTAGAAATTATTCTTAGATTTGCACGATTTACAGCATTTTTGTTGATATCGATGTAATTTACAGAGACCCATTGAAAGAACGTTCCCACAGTATTTGGAGGTGTCTTTACATTGAGCATCTTCATCAAAATTTAACCAAAAATACAAAAAAAGGAAAATACGGACAAAAGTTGAAAGAAAAATGTAAATAAAAATCGATTACAAACAAAAAATAATGGGTAATGTATTCTGAATGGTTTCACTTACGATTTTCAGCACATGGAGATCCCTTGCATTCTTTTTTCATAGCCGGCCTTACAATATTAGCATCCCGGCAAGCATTATTGGCACGTCGATTTGTTCCATACCAAATACATCTCACCGACCGATATTTAGTACCCTGGCCACCGCATGGAGCCTTACACTGCGAAAAAATCCAAAAAAATATGGAGCAATTGATAATTAGCTTCCACTACACAATCAATCGATGGACGCTTAAAATAAATGCATTAACAATATCGTTGTAACCTACATCAGTCCAATCGCCCACAACACGCCATGTAGGCATACAACGTTGATTGTCGCATTCTTGTCGAGTGATTGGCTTTTCGGATGGATCACATGAGTCGCTTTCGGTATTATTTGGAAACAAGCACTGCACATTTCGATCCTGTATGGCTTTATTTCGTCGATGGCAACGCGACTGAAGGCAAAGTGTCCATTCACCTGTGGAAAATTATTCACACTCAATATTATAGCGACATCTATTATTAAATAATAAATGCCATTCTTTCTATAAAATATCTACAATTCTATACAATCGATGCATATTTGGAGCGAGAATATTCACATTTTTGCCAACGAAAACTAAAATATTTTTGGTTTATAAAACATTACTAAAGGAATTGTTGAACACTTACCTTGTATCCATTGTGCACATTCTTCACCACCGCATTTTTCAAATGTTTCTGGTTCCGATAAACCGGCATCCTTACACAATACACTATCTACATTCTGAGTTGTATTATGTAAGCGAACCAAACATTCAGTACGTCGGAACTGTAAACAATTTTAACCAACAATTAACATACACAAAAAATGGCATATTCTCAGTTTATAGAGCATGTCGAAAAGGAGCTTTTGAACATTTAAATTACCTTGTATCCAACTTCTGGTCCACAAGTTTGTGAACATTCAGACCATGGCGCTACCATCCATTCAAATTTAACGCTATCTCTTAGACCATTTCCCAGTACCGTCACATTTTCTGCATCTTGCTCAAATTGCAATTGATTGAAACCACCAATTGGATCATCATTTTCCACCGCATCAAAATCCACTCCTTTCATGCCATGTTCCATTAGGACATTTCTTCCCTTCGAATTTGAAAAACTCTGAAATGGCCACAAAAACTACAAGCAAAAATATGCAACAAATTAGATTTCCGTTTCGAATACGTTTAACCGCCGTTTGCTTATTAAAAGCAAAGTAATTTAATTTCAAACTTGTCGTTTTGTTTTCATCGCAAATAAAAACGCTTTAATATACATACATATATTAAATATATTCAAACAAAATGTTCAAAAAATGATGCTCATTCTGCATTTTAGCCGCATATCTTATAAACGAGTTCAATTAGCGCTTTTTTCTATTTATATTTTTTTTTCGATAATGCGCACATATGCATACAAATGAAAAGGCAAATGGATATAGAACAAACAAAATATACTACATAAACTAAAAAAGAGAGCGATTTTATATGATCATTTTACCGGTTAAATAAATCAAATATGACATAGTTTAATCGGCTTTGCATGCAAAAATCAAAATGAACAATTTTAATGGGTTTATGAGTAACGATTTTGATCTAGTATTTTAATTGATTTGCATGAATACTGCATTAGTTCAATTGAACATTTAGTCGGAAAATATCTGAATATTACTCAATTAATTCAATGTATGATATTTATAAATAAGTTTATTGAAATTTTGGATCACATGTACGTATTTTTTTTTTCGAACTGATTATTGAAAAGTAATTAGTGGAAAAATGTTAGTTTCGTAATTCATTGCCGAATCAACATCATTTACAAACAGCATTTTTCCCGAGTAAACACCATAATGAACGTTGACTATTTAAATATTGGCATATCTTCTGTAATTGGCACTTGATGTATAAATAAATAAATGGTCGGTTGAATGGTTTTTGTTGTGGTTGTTGTTGTGCCATCGCGTTCAAATAAGCAACAAAATCGATTTGTGGGCAGAAAAATGCCGATCGATCGAAAATGGCTTTCCAAATAGAGCAAAGTCATTTTAAGTGAGGAAAATGTGCTTGTTGATGTTCAGCCACCAATTACGCATTATGTGATTCTAAACGCAGTTCGGTTATCACAACTTCTTAGATTTGGACGATTATTAAGTTATTTGGCTGTGGAAAACAGAATTTCGAACAAAAGCCCACAGAACGGAAGGAAATTTGTTTGCACAGCGATAAAATTGGAATGGAAGCAGACAAGAAACGTCGAAAAACTTCATTTCCAAAATACGGCTTCAATCGGGAGAGACCGTTAAATAAGAAAAAAAACGACTCAAGCATAAATGCTTATATTGAAAGTTGTCTATCGGTTTTGCTAACTATGAAATAGCATGCGATAGATATATTAATCATTTCAAAGTTTTTGCAATGGAGAAAATCAGCCAACTAAATGCGCATACGAAACACTATTGAATCGTTTGTCTTGTGGTTGTGGGTTAGCATTTCGAAACCAGTGAAATCGACTCAAAAACATTTACCCTCAAAATGCCAGAAAATAATACCCACTCATCGATCTCAATAAAATTGTTTCTCATGCAATAAGCACAAAAACAACTACGACGACGACAATGTTCAATGTTCATGCTAACAATCAAAACGATTAAATCGAAAGCATTTAATATGAAGCACTCAACGGAGGTTTCCTGATTTTTACGAATTATTCATAATGTTGATTTTTGATTACCTATTAATTGGGTGTGTGATCTTGATTTTTGGTTGGTTTTGCGTGTCTCAATGTGTTTGTCCATGTGCGTGTCCTCCCATGAACGGTCGGATTTAGGTGTGTGTGTGTGTATGTGTGTGTTATTGTATTGTGTGTGTGTAAATTGTGCGGATTGTATGTGTTTGTTTTATTTTTCAACCAAATTTCATAACGACATTGATTACCAAAATAAAAAAAAAGTTTAATTTGTTATCGAATATTTTTTTTGATAAATTCAAACTTGCACGAAAAGACGTTTATTATAATAAATTTTAATGTAATGCTGTGAGGTGAAATCATGCTTGTTTTAAAATTCGACGGGTTTCAAATCATTTTCTTTAATGCCATGGCTGCAGCATATAACATTTGTATTGCTTGGAAATTGATCTGCACATCTGCTTATTTCGACGATAATTATTCTATCTCGGTATCAGTTTGAAAGCGTATTTTTGAACATTTTGAAATAATTTGTCTGCATAAATGTTCAACATTTTCAAACAAACGCCAACGATGACATCTTATTTCGCATATACACCATGAATTGGTTGTACCAAAGCGCATAACAATTTATGCCAGTATGTGTACTGCTAGACTTCTCCTTCCCCCTTTCTAAATTTATATACGAAAAAGTTTACTCTCTTGAACAATTGAATGCTCGCGTAGCCATGACACAAAGTAGAACTAAAATACTTTCAAATGTTGATTTAAAGTACCTCACTATCCGTTCTTCCAATTTACAGTACACCGAATATGGTAATATGTTTGTTTAAATGTTTGTTTATATTTGCGCGCAAAAAATGCATGCAAAGCATCAGACGGAATTTACCTATGCAATCGGAAGTGCTCCAGTTATGATTCAAGTTATTTACTTGGAGGATTTTCGATTTTGAACGAGAAGAAAATGTGGTTCACGTCCCAAATGTGACATTTCTGAACTTGAAGGGGTTAAAATCAATGTGTTATGCATATTGCATATCTTTGAGAAATGTTGAGCATTTCGTATTCACATCAACGGAAATAATATGAGGTGTTGATCTTTTCGTTGAGTCACTAATGCTGCCGGTTGGTTCAATATGTATCAAACGTCTCAAGTATTTTTGTTAGTATTTTCGTGCTGGCAAAACATTATAATAATTTGGAGGGTGTCGGTTGAAAATAAGTAAACATGGAATTTCCCATCAAATAAGAATGAGGGCTTACGCGCTCAACGCTTCATATATGATTCCATTCAACACTTTAAATTCCATATTTGCTTATGATATTGTCTTGAAATACGCAATCGAAATATCTTCGGCTCATACTTGTTTCCGAATTTATTTATTCGTGTACCCGTTTATTTTTCTTACATTGAATGTAAATTACAGAGCGTGCTATGAACTGGTGTCATCAGTACTAACTGACGTTAGCTACTGAGCTCAGCTGCTGACGCGTATGGACACTACTGTACTCTATTTCTGTCGCATTCATGAATGCGACTGATCATGGTAAATTATTCTCCACTTTATGTACATTCTTGAACAAATTCTATCTTGAAGAAATCGGCGACAATATTCGGATAGAACATGGAATTTTCGAATGGAAGTTTAAATAGTTCTATGGTTTTGAATACTTTACCTTCATACGTTAGCACCTTGGGAAATTCAAATGTCAACACATTGATACGACTCAAGTCCGTGTCCATGTCTAGTCAATATAATACCATATAATGAGCTAATAATTCAGAAGAATTTTAGGTATCATTTAACATGAAAGTCGCTTTCAATTTATAAATATCATGTTATACTTTCTGCCATGCATCAATAATTCATCTCACGGTAATCATATGTAAACTTTCGTTAACATGCACGGTCGGTGTCTGAATGGGGCAGGCCGTGAACGTTTGCGTTCAATCATTTGCGTTCAAACTCAATTCCATAAACATTTCCGCCGCATCAATTATTCATTTTCTAATTATTTCTGGAACTCTTTTCATTTGAAAATATCTACATAAATTATTTTTCTCGCTCATAATCTAAAACATAGGTCGCGAATCCGTTTGAAATTCCAATCGAATTTCATTTTTGAGCATTTATGGATTTCATTCACTACATTCATGACATTTTCTTCTAGGGGGATTTAACTACGTGAAAACTTGTAAAAAAATGATATAAACGCGCACGAAATTGTTACATTCACCAGAGAACTTGCATGATTCCACTCAGTTGACAAGTTCCGTATTAAAACAACATGCGCGAACGCGCGCGAGTTCGTGTGCAAACTTGTAGCTGGACGACGCGCACACATCAGTCGTTCCATTTATTATATCTGGATTAACTTTTTCTTCAACACTTTCTCCAGCTCTTTAAAAATATTTCTCTTGTCCATTTTATAATTATATAAATCTTTGAACTTTTGGAAAGGATGTGAAAAATCTTTATACACGTAAACAACCGATTTTTAGCTTGAAACGCGTTTTAATTGTCAAATAACAACTTGAAAAACGCGCAAAACCATAAACAAACTTGTGTAAACTTGTGACCGTGCGCGTCAGTACGTACAAGGAACGCGTCGAACTCCCGCGAATCAAGCAAACTGGCAAAAAACATGCTGAACTCGTAAGAGTTAAATTCCCCTAGATTTTCTTTCAGTTTTAATAGAATTTACGTTTGTTGCTAAGACTTTGTTGGTGAACCACCACAGAGTTGCCGAAAAACATCGTGAATATGTTCACATTCGATTTTGCATTCAGTGCAAGATTATGACGTTACGATCTTTGAATTAAGCCCGAAATAAATGTTTCTATCTAACACATGCATGGCTGATGAATCGCGCGCGTGCAGCCCAGCCCAGCCATGTGCGCGTAAACGTATAACATTTGCTGTGAATAATGTTTGTATTTTAACTTAAATGAAATTATTACTCGAAAATTGAATAGAAAAACATGGAAACGAGGTGAAAGGCAAAGCGGGGAAGCGTACTCGAGCAGACAAAGTATTCTTTCAAGAAGAGGCATCCATACCGTGCGTTTGCAAGTGTGGTAAACTTAACAGCCGACAGCGAAACGGAACGAATCAAGCTAAAAAGTCGTTGAGATAAACCGAGAATAGTCGAAAAGAAAAGAAAAGCAAGAGAAATCGGTGCCATTCAGAAAACTGATGCTTAAAATAAACTTATGGCAAACGAGAGTTCATTTTCAAGAACGAAAGCAAAAAATGGGACGTTTATTCGTTTGGTGGCCGCGTTGCTCGTGTATGTTTATACGACACAAGTAACATCGTGTTTTGTGCAAACATAGGAAACTTCGTGCGCGCTCAATAAACACACATGTAATTTCTTTCTGAACAGAAAGAGCGCTTTTCCCAACGAAGATTTGGATAAATTATAGAAAGGATCTACGGCCGCGATGGCGGCAGCCACAGCGTATGTTTGTAAGACTCATTACACAATTCACATGTGATTCGGGCATGATGGAATGAGGGCGAATGAAACGGAGCGGCGCTGATTCCTTTTTTCGTTGCAAGCACGTTTGCCCTTTTTAGCATATGGCCTCAAAATGTTTCATTGAGATGACAAACCTAACACATCGACTGAGCGCCGAGATTCAATGAATTGAGTTCACCCCGGACGCATAACCGTACAACTGGTAAATTCGTCGTTTGGACTCCTTTTTTCTTGTGCCATGTAAACTACGTACTATGTGTGGACGGCATCATGTACGCGAGTGTAATTTATTACGAAAGCATAAGCTGCAGCATTGTGTAAAACTTGTTCTTGTTCCGCATCAAACGCAAAAACATAATCCATAGCCAGACTACGAGGCCCATGGTGATTTCAGTGTGTTTAGCTCACTGTAGCTAGGACATCACGTCGGCATATTCACGTTGGCGTTTGATATCCTGTTTTTCCTTACAATTATGTTTAACTTTATACAATTTGGTTGTTTTTTTCTCTTCCGGTTCGTTCGTTTGTTCGCCATGTGAGAATATGTGTTGCACACACAATTTGTTTGCTCTTTGTTTCTGTTTCGCTCTCCCTGCTTGACTCTGCACATGCTTTTGGCTATGTTTAATTTTTATTTTGTTTCTTGACTTTTTGTCGTGTTTGCCAAACGATATTATGGCTGTAAACTCAAATGCAGACAAATATATTAAAAATATGCGAAAAACATCGAAAGCCAAAATGCAAAAACACACGAAAACTTTGTGGGACAATTTTCTCTGCACTTTTTCCCTCTTTTGATTCGGCTTTCATTACCAATCTCATGCAGTTGCAACGTTCTTTCTTCATTCTTTCACTTCCGTTTTCGTTTCGTTGGTTTTATGAATTCGGATACGGATGCTGTTCCCAAAGCAAGCTGTGATTTTCGTGTGCTGATTGAAAATTTCCTCATTTCACTCCATGTTTCACTCCAAAAAAGAAGGATAAAGCATGGTTTAATGCTGCTCGGCAATATTATTATTTTCCACTTTTAAAATATGGCCAATATACATAGATTCCACTTGGTTTGAACATTTTCTGTACAAATCATGCCCATGTAATTGCAAATGACTGCAACGCAAACTTTTCCGTTGCACAGTAATACAGCACGCGATATTCATGCATTGTACTGTGGCATGATATTTTACAATGTGAATGTTTTCCGTTATTTGAAGAGAGTAAGGAAAAAAACACAATGCACCAAAGTCCAATGATTTTGCCTAATGATTTGTCAATTTCGCCATTTGTCTTCGGAGCAAATGAATTGGAAAGCATAAGTTTTCTTTAGTAACTTTAGCTTGAACGGCGGAACGATGACCAAAGAAAGTTGTTGTTGTCAAAGTGCTTAAGACTGTCAGCACTTTGTGTTGTGGTTTTAAAACTACACAGCCAAATTTATTTACTCCGGCCACAAATAAACTTGGCGACAGCATACAAATTGTAGCCCCATAAACTGGTGACCGAAATAAACTATGAGAAAGTTGTTAAAAGACCAATGGAAAGTGAGGGAGAGAGAGAGAGAAAAATACTGCTGAGCTAAATGCCTTTCGAATATTTTCGATTTTCTAATTTAACTGTGATCAAATGTTTCCACGTTGACTGTGTTATTCGAGAACAAAGTTTTCGAACTAAAGAGCAACCGAAAGAAGTTTAATAAAATTAAATGGAAAACTGCGTTCTAGGCGGCTGGAATATATTTACTCCTAATAAAAAAGAATTTATACATGTGATTGTGGGTAGAAAAATGGTGAAGGTGCAAATGCAAATACTAACGTAACCATCAAACGACAAACAAACCAACAAACCAAACTGGAAAAATTTCAAACGAATAGAAACAGAAAATAAAAACACACGCCACATTGATGGCATCTGTCAAAGGATGGGAAATTTCAGACAAACATAAAATAAACACCGAAACACATTACAGGAAAAAAATGAAACCATAAACAAATACAGACCGAAAAAAAAAATACAGACCACCACATTTTTCGAGTTATGAACATGAGAGAAATATAACACCACGGAATGAACGAATAAAAACATAAAACGAGGTTGTTGAAAATGGACAGAAAATAAAGAGACGAAGGTAATTCAAAAAAAACACACAAAAACACATAAGATGCAAGTTTTTCGTGATTGCCAAATATAATACCAGGAAGAGTGTAATTTAAAGTTATGACTGTGTGACAGAGAGCATTGATGTCGATTTATCTCACCTGTAGACTAGCCAACAAATGTTGAAAATGTGGCATTGGGACCGTCCTCGTTCCAGAGCTACTGGCTGCTGACAGTGGACTGTCATCATTCAATTCCTATATCAGATTCATTTTAATCGGAACCACGCACACACACAAAGAGCAAAAGAAATTTAGATTTTTTTTTCTGCATTAAACTTACATTTTGAAAAAAAGAAGAATATTTCATTTTTTGTGGCAAACAAAAAAGTCGAACCTAGCGAAATGGTGGTCAGAGTGCTTTTTTCCTATTCTGAACATTTGGGTACAGAAGATTTACTTTAAGCTTATGTGTGGTTTCTCCGACAACATTTTCACGAAACATATTCATCATTTCATTTTTTATCCTTTTTTTGCTATTGCTTCAAAGCTATCGAACTCATGAAGCAGAGTAATTGATTGCTTCATACTTTAATAGACTAGTCGCACATTGAATTCCGAATCGGACAGAATTTACAAATAAATTTTAATTAAGAAATACTTTAACTTCAATCCATATGCCAACTTAATTTAATCAGTTCAATTAATCCCACCCTTAAGTGCTTCGCTGTTTGAATGGGACTCAATTGAAATGCACAAATGAAATTCAATGCCAGAAAATGAATCAACTTTAGCAAATTTAAAAATACCAGTGATTTAATTTCAGAGAGTTAGAAAGCAGTCGATGATAACTAGTGCGGAAAAGTGGTACATGTGTGTGCAATTGATATCTGGCTTCGAAGTGTATTGCCAGCGTAAGCGTTTTATGTTTAATGGGTAATTATTATCTAAATAATTGAATGGCTAATTGTGTTAATCAATAATTCAATTAGGGATTCCATGTCGAACACTGCAACATTATTCTATGTCTTATGGCTAGCGAAGAACAGAAAAAAATAATACAAAATCCATGGGGCCATGAAAATTCGAGAAAATGGCTACAAAGCGAAAGACGTTCATAATTAGCGCATATATTAACTTATAATTTATTTAATCATTTAATCAATTCGATGGCATGTCAATATTTAATGGCGCCTTGACAAGGCGAATAAAAGCGAACGTAAAAAGAGGGAAAATGAGAATGTTTAAGACTGTGAAACAGTATAAGCAGCCATAGCTTCGGCATTTTCGCTTGATTGATTAATAGGAGCAAAAAAGTATTTGAAAAAAAAGAAAGTGCCCAAAGACGAAGATAAACTTATTGATCCCCATTGTATGAATTCTCGTATATATTTTTTCTTCACATCGTATTTGCTTCCATCTTAAACAGTCGAGAGCAAGTTTTCGTTTCTATTTTCCATATAAAATGTACTCGTCAATTGGATTATGGCTATTTACACTTTTGCCTACTTCCATTTGAGTTTTCTTCATTTTTATTGTGCGAGCGCACTCTGTCTTAAAATGAATTCGATCGAAGAGCAAACTTCTTAAGGGTTAAGTACGCTCCATTTAACACACACACACACACACACATAAAGAGAAAAAGATCGAATGGGATAGAGTGGGAAAGAGAAGAGAGAAAATGGAATTTTGAGTAAAAGCCAACAATGCCGTAACGCAAAACAAGGAGACGAGATTCGAGAAAACAAAATAAAACCAACTGAAAATTCTTCAAAAAAATTTCAAGTGCAACGGATGTTAAATTTCATTTCGCCTTAGCCTTCAACATCTAAAGTAGACTACTTATTCGATGTGATTGATAACCGATATACTTTCGTCTAAAAGTGGGCAGAGTGCTTTTCTATTTACAAATGCCCTTTGTACAATGAATGAACCCCGGTTTGCCGCACTTTCGATTGACTAGCCTAGCATAAATTACATGCGCCATTGGCATTTGGAGCATTTCGAGTGGCTATGATGATGATGATTTTTATCCATCTTTTACTCCCCCACTCAACGGTATTCAACGCTCTCGATGTTTGCGTTTGTGTTTTTTTTAAGAATCGAAATCAAACAAAAATAGTTATTTATTGTTGAAATGTTTTTAATTGAGTCCGTTTGGAAAAGCACAATGAGTGCAGAAAGCGTCCGATAACCGTTGAATAAACAGATTATTCAGCATTGATTTTTCTGCAGCTGGTGAATATATGTGTGATGTGTATGTGTATGTGTGTATGTATTGTAAGCAATTGTTTGTTAGAGAGTTAAGCGAATGCTATGTTTGCTTTGTGGTGAATAACAAACACACAAAATATGGATATTCTGTCTATATATGTGCGTGCATCGGTTAGTGTGTGCTATATATTTTTTTCATTGGGAAATATACACACAATTTCTCCCTTTCACTCTCTCAATGAATGAAAGTCAAGCTTCACTCAGTTGGAAATTGTTTGCACAATGAAGAAGTGTAGGTACCCCACACAACAACAGAAAAGTCTATTGTATGCTTTTTGTTATTTCTTCGATTCGGAAGAGAAAAAAATACATAGGGAAAAATCAACAACAACTAAATCTAAACCAAAAATACTCTATTTGTTGTACTCACTTCGTTTTGGGTTGGTTTTTTGTCCGCATGACGTATATTGTTGAAATCCTTTTGGTGGTTTTGGTCTTTGTTCAATTGATTAAGTCTGAAATTGAAATGAGTGGAACAGAGAAATGAAAGTGGTAAGGATGGTTTGGATAAACTCCAGCCGATTGGTTTGAAAGCTTTCTCTTGAAAAAAAAAAAAAACAATGCATAACATCAAAGTGTGGGGGACATCAACAAACATCATTTTCTTACCGACTGCCGTTGATGTTTTTCGCTGGCACTTGATATGCAACTGTTCTGTCTTCATCTGAAAGTAACATCAAAGTTGTTATACGTACTGTTAATGCACAGTGGCCAAAACAATAGAAATTGAAATACTCACCTTCAACATCGATAATGTTTTCTTCTTCTTCTTCTTCTTCGATGCTTTCATAGTCGACTGGCGTTGCTTCACGATCTCCCGGTTTCGGTTTGACTTTTAGTCGTAGTTCAGACATGCTCAAACCAGCATGGCATGCATACACACCAGAATCACGATATGTAACATCTAAAATTCTAAGTGCACCCTTCTTTGATAGCTTGACATTCCGAGTCTTTGTAAGAAATTTCGAGTTTTTACTCCATCGAATTTTCGTACGATTAAACCGACTGAAAATGGTATTTCGTGTTTTTTATGCATTGTAGTTTGGGTGTCGATAAAATCGTAACTTACCTTTTGACAGGACACTTGATTTTAATCTGTGTGCCAAGAAATACGGTGGCCGCACCGCCAATTTTGAGTGTAACTTTAGTTTTCTTTGGATCATGTTGAATGTATGTTGTGTTGCTGGCTGCTATAGATGGATGTTCATCTTCGGGTGCGCAAGGTTTGGTGTTACATGGCTTCTGGCTCGCTGGTTTCATGCTGGGACATAGATCATCACGACGTTCGACCTTGTGCTCTTGGGCCATGATTTGCTTACATTCAACCTTTCTCTCCTTAATACCTCCACCACATGGTCTGCAAAAAAAATATTCTTAACTCAATTGAAATGTTCAGAGAGGAAGACGAATAAATTCGCATACTTTGAGCATTTAGACCAGCCGGAAACTTCCCAACGAACCGGGCAATCCAATATATTACAATACTGTCGCTGCGCTGGCGGTGGTTGTGGACACATCGAATCAGGCACAACCATAGTGTTTTCGCCTCCTCGCGTTACTTCGTGAATACATTGCACCTAAATAATCCAATTTATGTGAACAATCCACTTACAAATGAATCTAACGAATTGATCTTACCCCACGTTCTCTGATGCCAATACCGCACGACTTTGAGCACGGCGAAAAATCAGAATAATTCCATCTTGGTGGACACGGGCGATCATTGCAGGTTCGAATCCGAGCTTCTGGTTTCGTTTCTGGTGAACATAGAAACGGTGAAACTACTTTGCCTGTATCTTCACGCACACAGTTTATTATCAGTTCTTCTACACCGCCCAAACAAGAAGCACTGCAGCTCGTATATCCCTGTTCTTTCCAAATATAAGTTTTACCGGGCTCTGAAACGCCAACCTTGATCGAGTCTCTGTTTAATAAACAAATATGATAAGAAAAGTTATGGTTCATCTTCTTGATTGGCCAAATATGTTCGAGTGCAGATTAAATTGCGTCTCAACATGGATATGAATGTGCAATGTGTTCGTAAAAATAAACAAAACATAAAAAAAACAAAGCTAAATGTAACGAAACGGGCATGGACAGCTACCTTGGATAATTATCTTCATACCCATAAGCCATAGAACATGGTTCCATAACACAGCGTTCGACTTGCGGTGGAGGTTTTGGTCCTAAGCAAAACGAATCATTGTGTAGGGTGGCCAAAGTTTGCGACAATTCTAAGAAAATTTTACATCGATACTGCTTCGTACGGATTCCTTCACCACACGTCACACTGCACGGCGACCAGTGCGTATCTTTGATGAATCTGCAAGAAATCCACAAATAAATATTAATTATTATATGATAAATTGAGTGCACTTGAGATGATTTAAGCCAGGCAGCAGCATCAGACGTAATTGACAAACGATTATGGCTTTAAGAAAACCAGACGCAAAACATACAATCACATTATAAACGAACGAAGTTCTTATTGAAAATATACTTTGCATGAACTTGATTCCATATTTTTTTGTCATAATAGGACAGGCGCCAAAAATCGATGTTCCACTAATTTATTCAAAAGCCTACAATTGAATTAATATCATCGTATATATAGACCATAGGGAAATGAAGCGATTGGCGATTGGAAATTGAAATATAAAATATTAAATACCCAGACTGGGTGACCCAGCTCACGTGTGTCCAAAATTTGAGCACTCATGTGCACTTTAAACTGTACACGGGATATATGGCAGTATTTATTGAGCCACTTGATTTTTGACATTATAATTTGTCGCCTTCAATGGTTTCACCTCTGTGGGTATATAAACAAAAGGTCGGGCACATAAATACATGTACATGAAAACCGTAAATTGTCATGAAGATAAAACCGCATCACACGAACCAAACAGAAGAGGAGAAAGGAGACGAATAGCGTTGAAAAAATGCTTTTTCGTTTGAAATTTAATAGTATGATCATGGTTCGGAAAATTTTTGCAATAAAATTGAATGCCAACATCCACCATTAAATATGCATGTTGGTGTTAAATATGCATCTCTCTCACATTCCATTGTTTAGCACTCGAAACAGACAACTGTTCCGCATAAGCACACACACACACACACACACACAGTCCATATAAACAATAATAATTATTGTCATTCTTAAAGTGAAAAAATTAATGTGCTTGTGTGTGTATGACTTTTTATCTCTCGTTTTTGTGTGTTGCGGCTTGGGTGTTTTGACGTGATGTGTGAGTGCACGGCTTTATTGCAATTCGTGTTCGAGTGTGCGGCTGTATTCTGAAGCTTATGTATGATAGCAAATCGAATAATAAATAATTCATAGTGCCATGTGGTAATTGCGAGCAGCCACTTATTGCTATTAAAGCTTATGCTTCGTGCCTTTTTCCTCGTGCACACTGCATACACACACCCATACCCATACACACGGCTAAGGTTAATCACAAATGCGCGCAAAATTTATCGCTACATGCATTTCACACGTGCAATTGTATACTCTCTTTTTTTTCCATTTGCAGTCGAGGCTGACTATGATTTTCATTTCAAAATACAACTGAATCACAGTTATAGTTACAAAAGTTACTGTAAAGCGCTTGCTCGTTTTCGCCCATTGTCATAAATCTAACAACCACTATATAGTATATACGGCCCAATTTATTCCAGTGTTTTTGCCATTTGATCATTTCCACGCTATCTCATTTTAAATAAATTACCCGAGTGACATTAATTTTTCTCATTGTGAATTCATAATTTTTGGTATTCGGAATAAACACAAAAATATAACGATTGCAAAAAAAATGGATATAAACTTTATGTTGATGGGGAAACTGTGTCATATTTTATCTACAACGGATGGTGAATTTTTAATTTTTCACTCCCGCAGTAATTGCTATTGTCTGGTAATCTATGGCACTGTTTATAGTTGATTGGAGATTAAATGGTTTTATCGATTATTGTGGTACTTACGTCGCTTCGCTTGGCATTTGTTGTACATTCTTCGAACGTTTATCGGTAAATCGTTCGGCTATCGGGGCTGGTTCTTCGTGATGCAATTGTGATCTGGTTAAATACGATGAACGATAGTATTGTCGATCTTCTCCATCGGCCATGGCTTGCTCATTGGATCCATTCTTATAGTCAGCCTGTGGATAATACAAACAAAAAATCCATTAAAAAATTGAACTAAATCAATTCAAATCAATCTTGTCTGTAATGAAGACAAGCTGCATTTAAAATATGAATAAAATTTACAAATATCAATTGTGATAATAATCCGAAAACGAAACCCCAGTAATTAGTCAAATTAGTAATTTTGGAACTCAAACAAAAACAAAAAACACATGCATGAAATTATGCAATCGAATTGAAAGACTGTACGGATGAATATCCTATAAAGTACCTCAGACTCGTTTATTTCTTCACTTTCGGCTCCAGCATCACTTTCAGAGCTAGCATTTTCCGTATTACTACCGGTATTATCTTTGACATTTTCGTTTATACTTTCAATACTGGTTTCGTATGCCATCTGGTCAACAATGACATCCTCCGAACTTTCGACATTATCAGTTTCCGAATTTGTATTTTCACCGTCGTTGTCAGTTGCAGTGCTGTCATTCTCATTTTCGTTCTCTTTCCCGTCCTCGTCATCGTGTTCATTGTCGTTTTCGCTCTCATTTTCAGTCGATGCATCCGTAATTCTATCCACTTCTTCATGGCTACTGCTGCCGATATTATCGTTAATTATCGTTGTGCATTCGATTCCAGTGGTGCATGATTGCGTTGCGATTGGTTTTAATTTCGGATCACAGTCAATCTGTTCATTTGAAAGTATTTGCATTGATTCGTCAATGAGCCGATTGCTTGGTGCATCCGATAATGATTCGATGTGGTCAGTTTTTTCATCGTTATTGTTACCATCAACATTCTGACTGTGAATATAACCGGTATGCGAGCCATTTGCCAAAGCCGGTAATACGCAATCGATTTTCCTGACCTGAATGCCCGTTCCACAGGAAACGGAACACTTGAAAACAGGAAGAGAACAAAGAAAATGCACATGCCAATCACACAATAAAAATATGTTACAGTTATTTCACTACGGTGCATAATCATTATTTGCAGAGCATTGAAGTTGCTGGCTATGTAGTGCTGCTGGTGAACAGATGTGTTTAACAGCAGCTATTGGTTGCGTGCATATTCGCTGTGACGCGCGTTCGTTCATCTCCCGATTCTCACACACAGTATTTGTCTCTTGCATTCACACGGAAAGAGAGAGAGAAGCACATACAACACACGAGATACATCGTAAACGACGCGCGCGTGCATGCACACACATAGCTGCCGTTCGTGTCTCGTGTATTTTATACGCTTCTCTTTCTGTTTCTGTGTGAATGCAAGAGACAAACACTGCGAATTTCGTCAAGTGTACCAACGAACGTCAAAGCAGAATTCAAATTCAACGGTTTTCAAATCAAACACTATGCAATCGAATGTTTCCAATGTTTTTGTATTTTGAATCAAGTGCAAAGGAGAAAAAGAACAAAGCTAATGAATGTTAAATTTATTTTTTTGGGTTCTGTTTTTATTTGTCTCATTTTTCATTTTTTCATCGCACTGTCGTTTTTATTTTTGAATCTTTAACAACGAAAACAAATGAAGCGATTGTATTGTAAACAAATGAAGTATTTATTTTTATGAAAATCATGAACAAATTTTATCGTTTAATTTAAAAACAACAGTGCGATGTAAAAATGAAGAATGAGACAAATAAAAACAGAACACAAAGAAAACAAATTGAGCATTAATTGGTTTGTTCATTTTCTCCTTTGAACTTGATTCAAAATACACAAGCATTGGAAACATTCGATTGAATAGTGTTTGATTTGAAAACCGTTGAATTTGAATTCTGCTTTGACGTTTGTTGGTACACTTGACAAAATTCGCAGTGTTTGTCTCTTGCATTCACACAGAAACAGAAAGAGAAGCGTATAAAACACACGAGACACGAACGGCAGCTATGTGTATGCATGCACGCGCGCGTCGCTTACGATGTATCTCGTGTGTTGTATGTGCTTCTCTTTCTCTTTCCGTGTGAATGCAAGAGACAAATACTGTGTGTGAGAATCGGGAGATGAACGAACGCGCGTCACAGCGAATATGCACGCAACCAAAAGCTGCTGTTAAACACATCTGTTCACCAGCAGCACTACATAGCCAGCAACTTCAATGCTCTGATTATTTGAATATGCATCGAACTACAGTTTGAGATGTAATTCAGTGAAAATGTTGGATTTTGCCAAATTCGTGTTTTGCACTGAAATTGCAGTAGGATTGCAATTGGAATAGGTGTTCAAATGAAAATTTAAATTCAGGAACATTGAAAACGTAGTTAAATTTTATGGAAAATTATTTGCTCAAAATTATTTTTCAAAAAAAGAAAAAAGGGGAAACGAATAGCTCTCAGGACATTTTTCCTCTGCACAATGTTGCAGCACTTGCATCTAATTCATATCTTTCTCTCGCAAACGATGGAAGTATTCTTTCTGAATCCAACAAAATAAAGTGTGGAATATGACTTTGTGCACTTTGTATGGAAAATCCTGAAGGCGATTTCTTTTATTAAACGTGATATGAAGATGGACTTCCAGCTTTCTTCTTTCATATATTTTAATCCCTTTTGAACCTTTAGATCGTTTCAGTCTGAAAAAAGACTCTATCTATTCTGAAGAGGAAAATAGCTAATTTTCCAATGAATGTGTTTGAATTATGAACGATAAGCTTCAAGAGGGAACAAAACAGGGATTTATTCGAACAAGCGAACGGTGATAAAAAGAGGTGCATATGCGAAGACTTAGCGGAACTTGAACTTCAAAGGGAATGGTTTCATGGTATTCACGCAGAAAAATGTTCTTGATGTGCATACTGTAATACACTCTACTTTTTTATCTTTGAATATATGATAATGACTCTATCTCATTGGGTAGTTGCTCTATTTTACATTCGTACGTTGATCACATTACAGTCTTTGCTTACGTTTTGTCACAGAACGATTTTCCCGTACGTTGAGCGAATTAACTCAAATTGAAAAGAGTTTCGTACAGAGAAATCGGCATCGGTACTAAAGAGTAACGAGAAAAACTGGTCCAAAACACATGGACGTGCATATTTCATGAACGCATCTACTACAACCTAAATTCAGTGGGCTCAAGCAAAAATACCAACTGTTTCAAACGATTGAGATATATGTGAATTGATGTTTGTGTATCAAATGTATCTGTTGTTATCTAGTGTGCTTGAACCTAGGGGCTTTTTACTCTTTTTCATATATGCGATTTGTACGGATAAACGCGCATAGATTGTGTGCCACAGTGAAGTGTGCCGAATTTTCCACATAGTCACGAATATTACGCATAGAAGCGAATACGCGTGCACATAATGACGCCACGATGCGATTTAAGACGTATCAACACAATGTCAACATTCTATTGTATCGTTCAGGTTCGTTCGAACAATATTTGACATCAACAATTTCTGCCTTTAATATTTATCAAATCTCTTGCTAATGAGATTGTTCTTATTTGATGAAAATTGAATTTAAATATAACACAAAATTAAAATATAATAGCAAAGAATAAGAATGAAAACGAAAATCAGAATGTTATAGTATACAAATATTGAAGTAAAACCGCCGATAGTTTTGGTAGATATAAAAATCATTGAAAAAATAAGTGCGACGATTCATTATACTTGGAAATAGCATCTGGATTATAAATAATAAAAAAATCCATATGTACAAATGATTGAAGTTAACAAAAATGATCAGCAAAAAATGTGAGCTGAAATAAGTACATATCAAAGTATTTCTTGAATTTTTACATGAAAAAAGTCGTTGCAATTTTGAATTCAAAATAGTCGATATTGTGGCGTGTGACCAATCAGAGAAGGAAAAATTTTAGTAGGATTCATGCGAAATTATTCGCAGTATGAATGGTCTATGTGCAGTATTCGGACATCGAATGTGTGCACTTCTAACGAATAGGCACCGCATAATCTAGGGGAATTTAACTCTTACGAGTTCAGCATGTTTTTTGCCAGTTTGCTTGATTCGCGGGAGTTCGACGCGTTCCTTGTACGTACTGACGCGCACGGTCACAAGTTTACACAAGTTTGTTTATGGTTTTGCGCGTTTTTCAAGTTGTTATTTGACAATTAAAACGCGTTTCAAGCTAAAAATCGGTTGTTTACGTGTATAAAGATTTTTCACATCCTTTCCAAAAGTTCAAAGATTTATATAATTATAAAATGGACAAAGGAAATATTTTTAAAGAGCTGGAGAAAGTGTTGAAGAAAAAGTTAATCCAGATATAATAAATGGAACGACTGATGTGTGCGCGTCGTCCAGCTACAAGTTTGCACACGAACTCGCGCGCGTTCGCGCATGTTGTTTTAATACGGAACTTGTCAACTGAGTGGAATCATGCAAGTTCTCTGGTGAATGTAACAATTTCGTGCGCGTTTATATCATTTTTTTACAAGTTTTCACGTAGTTAAATCCCCCTAGCGCATAATACGCATAGTACGAAGAAATCGGCACATACTATGAGTTGAAGCGCATATTCTTCGCATAAAACGAATTTTTTTCGAGTTAAATGCCCCTAGGCTTGAACATTCCACATCACGATCTGCATATTGTTCGTATGTCGGATGATAAGTGTCATACGCGTTCTATTTACCGAATGTAATGGTTATTATGTTTTGTGTTAACCAAAGTACGTTTGTTAGTTTAGTTTTAGTAGCTCAAGTGTAGTGGCAAAGTTATAGACAGAAAAAAATATACACCGAAATATCGGTGAAGCACACTACACATACACACCCATATGCTGTTATTCTACGAATGAATGAAAAAGGACTAGAGATGAAAGTGCAGAAACAAAACACTTACGCCAGACCATTCACGCGTAATCCACTTGGGGCAATCTTGCACATTGCACGGTTCAAACGTCGGTGGTTTGGCTGTGTCACGACAAGCATCATCTGGTAACTGTGTTCGCGTCAGATCCGGTGTTGTTGTTGGATTGGTGGAGTGTATGCGTTGTTTTGTCATCAATGTCAGCGCAGGCACAATGCACGAAGATAGATAGTTTTGCATTCAAAAGAGCCGAGGAAGCATGGCGAATATCACCAACGGCAGGGCAACAACAGCAATATACAAAAGCCAGAGAAGAGTGTAGAAAAAAAACAGAAAAATAAAGAAGGATGAAAATTATTTAGCTTTGCATTGTATTTATATATACATATATGCTTTATACCCTTTTTATTATTTTGTTTGGTCGAAAGCCATTGAAGAGAATAAGATAGAGAGAAAGTACAAATATAAAGGCGTACATAGAAAGAGAGAGAGAGAGAGAGAGAGAGAGAGAGAGAAACGAACCCTGGAGCAAACAATAATAGATGACAACAAATCGCCGTATATTTCTGTGTTTGCCATGTTTCGTCTTTGACTCTCATTGTTACTTTTAAATTTTCCGCGCGCACAAGCATAGTTTTTATTGTTTGTTTGTATTTACTTATTCCTCATCGTTTTGCTCCGATTCTTATTTTACTCTTCCATACATTCACCTTTATACTCTGATATCTTTCGATTTATTCCTCATTTTCTCTCTCTTTCCAAGAAGCATGATGCATTGTACAGAGCAGCCACTCTGATCGTCTGTACAAATAGATAGGAAACGTCAAACAAGAACAATAAAGCGGCACCTGGCGACTGGTTGGAGAAATAGAGAATCATGCACATAGTTTGCTGTAACAAGTATGCGTCTGTGTTAGTTCAAACGTTGTAACAAGTATGCGTCTGTGTTATTTCAAACGGTAAAAGTATGACACATTGCACTTAGTCCCCAGGTGCCGCTGTATTGTTTACTATTTTCATGATCAGAAAGGCTGGTACAGAGTTGATGCAATTGCAGTTTCGACTATATACGTACTTTGTTTTTGAGGCTATTGCTTTCTTCGATGCATACAACGGTTCGTTGCCTCGTCCCACGACCACAAGTTTTGCTGCACGAACTCCATTCGTCTGTTATCCACCTATAAAAATTTAGTTTAGATTTTGTAAGTTTTTTTTGTTCAAGTAAAGGCCTTTTTTATATTCAATTTTATTTGGTGCGCGCTCTATTTGGCTCTTTGTACGTTTTGTTCTTGTTGGATGGTAAATACATGAATGATGGTTTCAAATGCGTAACAAAGTTTCGCGTCCCTAATGCGCGTGCGCACACGTCTTGACTTTAATGTTCCCTTAGTAGTGTATTACGTACACTTTTTCTTGATTCAAATGGCTGTACCATGGATCAAATGTATAAAAGCAAAGATAACGTACTGTATATAATCTTATCACTTTCTTCTGAATACCACATCTTCAATTCGTAGCTTTATTCTGTTTGCATTGACTATTTATTTTAATACGGACAGATGGCCGCTGCCACTGCTATATATACTGAATTGTCTATAAATTTTTATTAAATGAGACCGAAGCTACACTTAAATCACCAGCACAAACGGACACCAGAATAACGAAATAAATATTATTTGCTAAACACAAACATTTCTTCAAACTCCTTCTCTTTCTCGTATGCTATCCATTCACTCACGTCTTTCGCTTTGGCACTGGCACAGATAAAATCACAAACAAATGCCACAACAAGCACATATAAAATCGGACAATCACGATGATGGGCAAGCGAATGAGTCTGTCGCATACCTTTTAAAATGAATCATTGAAGTGTTCGGTTTCGAAAAATTGCAAACGATTTTCACATAATTACGATAAATGCAAATAAATGTGAGTGTAATCGAAATTAATTAAGTGTGCATTTATCTTACTTTGGTGGACAACTGTGCGTGTTGCACTGTACAACGGCTGGCTCCGGTCGCATAACGGCATTACACAGAGATTCTTCAACTTCTTGACCTGTCATCCGGTTTCTACACAACGGTCGCGACATTTTGTACCCTGAAAAAACAAAAGCAAAACAATCAAGACAAATGGTCTTTAGCCAACCACAAATTTGACATTAAAATCCAAGTACTTGAAAACAGAAGAAAAAATTTAAATTAAATGTTGACCACAGAGCTTAATGGAAGTGAAAATGGATTTTGGATTGACAATGCTAATAACAAATCTTCAATAAAACATGCAATAAATTTGTAATCCCAGAATTAGATCGATAGATTTAACTTATGGGGCCGTAATGGCAGTGATTCGTTACTAAATGTAGCAAATCACATCATTACCATAATAAAATTGCCAGCCTCTCAATTGATGAATACGTAAACATTACATTTATCCTAATGGCATTCTAATAAATTCAGCAGCTGAATGCTCGCATTTACCGTCGAATGTGGTTGCTGTATTAAACCCGAAAACACTGAAATCCAACAGTTCAAGTATCTTCAATGTCATGATAAATGGCAAAAGCATTTTCGAAGGAGGCAAAACATTATCGAAATGGATAAGCAAGCTTTGATATGAACTGATTGTCTGTCAATGAACACTGGCCCGAGAAATTCGGGATTTTTGGTGGAAAATTGTGTCAGAATCAAGTCTGCGGGTCATAAAAACTGATTTAGATATACTTCAGTTATATACGCCTGGAACAATTCAGCTCTTGAATTTAAACTTTAATTTAATAGGGTAACACGAAAGTCTTGGGAAAAGAGTATTTTGATAAGTTCACGTATCATTTTCACCATTGTAAATACAAAGTTTGACGCTATGGAATGAAAATGACCCTTTCTAATAATTGGTCGATGATTTTGTTGAACTGTTGTCGATTTTTTACATAAATTTACGGCAGGCCACCTCGTATATGATATATATCATCATAAATTTTGCTTTGATGCTTATATTGTTTTGACTATTACATTCATGAGCCTGTGGTTAGAATTAGCCGTGTGCCTTTCCGTACTACATACATATATCAATATGCAATCGAGAAAATCTAATCTAATATGCAATTTGAATAAATTGACAATTCGATATTTTGATATGCATGTCATAATATGGTAATTACGAGTCAGTTTTCGTTATGCTTTTGGGGATTTTGAATAAAAAGGCAAATGTGTGGAATAGCTCAACAAGCATATCAAATAATAATGTGAGAGTTCGACTCATACCTCCGGTTTCGTTCAGTATTTTTAGTCGCTACTTTATGACATTGTCGAAATATGTTACGACTGCGAAGACAAGCGCATGCCAGCCAGAAAAAAAATGTACAGAAAATATTGTTCAACTTTAAAAGGTATATTGGCACACTCAAGAATATTTGCATACACTTAATTTGATATAAGCAATTTGGAGGAAAAAATTATAGTCAAACTTATTTTTCGCATACAATGATAATATACATATTTTGTAATATATATGGAAAGGACTCATAAATACTCTTTTATGTGGAGCCGATATTCATGTGCTTCAATTTTTTTTGTTCAGTTCCCATCATTTTGGCCCGCTTGCAAAGTTTGACGCTCGCTCTCAGTCGTTGTAATGACACATGTGTATATTGTATATGTATTAATGTCTCCGCATCGAGGCGTAACAGTGCATGACGAGATAGAAACAGAAACGTAGTCTTGTGACGAAAATGATGTGAATGTGTATGTGCGAAGCGCTACTAAGCAATAATCCCATGATTTATATTCAAATGTCGTTTAAACATTTTCGATCAAACAACTTAGTCCTTGCCGCCGTTCGATTGAACCGTCGGAGTAACGACAATAAATATATATTGGCTCATTTTTTGTCTTTTTCTTTTTGTTTTTACTTTCAAATTTGTGTGCTAACTCGCATAATCGATTACTATCATTGTTGCGCTTTGTGCTTGTCGTGATGATTCATTCACTCGCGTGCTTGCTCCTGTTTCCATTCTTTTTTTTGTTTTTGTTCGTCACAGTTCCCTTTGGCAAAAGAATTACTTAAAAAAAAAATACTTAGAAATTATTTCGCTATTGTTCCGTCTTTCATTGGTTGAGATGTTGTTGCTGCCACCATCACTCTTACTAATATTAGTTTCGCTGCTTTGCATGCGAGACAAGTAGTACACTTGTGTTTTTGTTTCGCCAAGTATTCGAGATTGAAAATAAGCTTTCTGGTTTTTATCTTCCTTTTGTTGGGGCACGATGAGTGCTTTCACCAAGTGCACGGCGGGCAGATTGATGAAAAATAGACGAAAGAGAAAGGAAATAAAACAACAACAACAACAACAATAAGGTTTGACTCCGTGGCTGTGAATACACTCCGTGGCGATGAGTTCAAGCCATGGATTTAGTGATGTACTTTTAGCAACAGAATATGAGTCATGCTCATGACTATCGTCTGTGCAGTGATAGTGTCAAAAACAACAGGCAGATACAAGAACGTCACGTCGCTTGTTTGCATACACATTTAACACGATGAAAAAAAGAAACGAAGCCCGAGCTGTTGGTGGCTTCGGTTCGTATTCAAAATACTATCTTTAGTCAGCCTACACCCTATATACATATACTTGTTTATGACCGACCGTTGTTACGACTGAGTTTGAATGTTTCTGCTCTTTGTTAGCATAACGACGAATTAAGATTTACAAGGAGGAAAAAGATCAGCATCGAGTCAGTTGTGAAAGTAAGCCAAGGAAAAAGTTAACAATACTTTTTCCCCGCTTAATATTCACATTTATTTCTTATGCGACGATTTTTTCATCGTCGTCGTCGTCGATTCGTTGTACTTTTACCGTTTAACTTTGTAACAATCTTTTATGCAAATGAAATACACCACAAAATCTCATGAATTTGAATTTGTATTTGTATTTGTTTTTGCCTGTTTGGTTGTGTGATGTTTTCTTGTTGGAAAATTGCACATCTCTTTCGGACTCGTTGATTTCGATGGCTTTACGTGTCGCTGTCGTTTCAATCGTTCTTGCTTTCCTCTTAAACACACAATAAATTTTCATGAGATTATATTTGACAAGTTTGTATACATAACAAATAAATGATAAATTGATATGTTACAGAACAGGCTGCTACAAAACGCTTTCCGTTTCTCATACGCATCACACGCGCACCATTGAACCAAACGAATTTTCATTTCCTTCGTTTCGACTTTTTCAGTGTTGATGTATTACCTGAGTACCTGAAAGTTTGTTATCAATTTGGAAATAGTAATTAAATGATGGTAAAACGAAAAATTCGATTTCATCTCAATAAAAGCCATTGCTTTAATGAATATATCGATGAGAAAAAGAAATCAGCGTTAGCATTTACAAAAGCCAACTCATTCAAAAGTCACAATAGCATAAGTTTCTTTTCTCGTCCTATTGAGAAATAAAGAAAACGGGACATACAATGCTTGTATACTTAAGCTTTCCACCCGGGAAAATTCTTTTCGTTCATCCTGTGATTTTGTTCAGGACAATTCAGTTATTCATTCGATTTTATGCGCATCAAGCCGTTTTATGAGCATAACATTTTTCCTATACAATTTTGCTTCGGTCATTGAACATAACTTGAATTTATGTAATGCCTATTCTGCAATCGAGAATCCATTTTATGGCCGAGAAAATTCCACTTTTAAATTCGTTTCGCGTATTCAAACTCCCATAAAATGTGCGTATTTTACTTACCTCCACCACAAGTAACCGAACATAGAGACATTGGAGCCATGTCCCACTGATACATTGGTTGTGAGCATGTCGATCCATTACCACCGCACACTCCACATGCATCCACTTTTTTCGACGAACCGATCCGCAAATCGCATCCGACACGCTGAAAATAAAGAGCAAAAATGAATTACAAACACAATTTAAATGGCATTTGCTGCAATGTAAACGCAAAAACATGTGAAAGATGTATTTCACATAATGACGTGTGCGGTCAGTGTTGGAACAGTGAAAAAAATCCCCATCACATAAATATCATTTGATTAATCAGAAGCCAATTTGAATCAATAAACTATGTTGACGTGTTTGGCTGTAAGTACTCATTTTGACTGCTACCAACCCCTGTCTCGCCGAAAATTCCAATCTCGGTGTTGTGACAACAACGAGAGAGCGAGAAAAAATTACCATGCTAGTTGACTAATTGAATATCGCACAACTTTTTTCCAATCAACCAACCGCAACCAACCAACGGACCAAATGTCCACAAATTGATGTCGAAGAAACAAAAACAAAAATAAATAAATAAAATGTGAATTTATTATTTATGCTTGTTTGTTCAAGTTTTTATCAATTGTTGTGGCGGAGAACTGAATATGCGTGAGAATTTTTGCTATTGAAACAAACACCCATTTAAGCACAAGACGAAAAGTCCGCCGCAATCGATTTATATCCAATAAAATTTAATCCGATTTCATCTTATGGAAACGTTGATTGTGGAAAACGAGCCAAATAAAATCCATTGATTGAGTCGATTTTATGGACACACCATACGAAAATGTAATTAATCACATCCACAGCATCGGACTCGAATTGTTTGCACAAATTTAACCAGATTTGCGCCGAAAAAAGCCAAAAGGAGACAACATTCATTGAATGGTTTTTTCGTTGCTTTTGTCAATGTCGCTTCAATTGTCACGCAACAATACTCAATTTGAATTACGGAATTAATGCTAGTTACAATGGTCACGTGAAATAAGAATTTCAACTGAATCGTATTTATATAATGGCACAAACACCGAACCGTTACTTGACAACCAAACTTGAATTGGAACGAATAGTTTTCAGTGAGTCTCATGAAGTTCATACGAAAAAAAATTGAGCCTGCCCCAAGCGAGAAAGGCGAAAAACGTTCGTCGTGAGTTGGTTTAAAAATATTCACCTGTAGTATGTTACTTCCGAAAGATTTTTTGAGTGATTTTCCAGATCAATTGACACTCCCTTAAAGAAGAGAATAACGCATCAGTGTAATGCCAATTCTTTGTTGAATAAATTCCAAAATTAAAGGCGATTATCATCAAATGCAGTGTGATCGTCTTCTAAGCATACTAAATCATTTAGTGGGTCAGACTGTCAACCTACTATCCGAGAGTTGAGCCTGTCAGTAGTATTTGTTGTTGTAATTTGTTAGTTCGAACTCTCACCGCTTGCATGTACAATGCAAATCAGATGCGTTTTTTGGGGCGCCACTTTTGTGAAGCTTGTATTAGACTCAATCTACGCTTCTATCTGACCACAATGATAGCCAAAATTGCGTGAATTAGCTATGCGTCGTCGTTTTTCCTGTCTTTTGTCTACCCATAAATTGGCACTTGGAGTACAATGTCGTTAGCAAAATGGCCCTTATGTTCGTTATCGTATGCATAGAATCCATTGAAAAAACTATTGAAATTGCTGTCTTAAGATTATTTAGTGTCTTTCGGCTCTTGTTCTTGAATTCCCAATGCGATTGTGAGGATTCATTGCTTGGTGTGGTTTGAAATCTTAGTGGATTACTTGGTAAACTTAGTCACATTTTTCTTCTGCGTGAATCGATTCTAAAGGGATATTGCAACTTTTTTGACCAGAAAAAACGCCATCTTACGTCGTGCCCGTAAATTATTTTACTGTACATTTAGATGGTAGAGCTTGAACAAAAGTTCGACACTATGCATAAACTTGGAAAGAGCTTGATAAACTTGATGAAATACATATATTTTATGGTCACTGCAATGATCGATTCAAATGTATAAGTGAGTGTGTATGAGTGTGCAGCCGAATTTGGTAGCGTCATTAGCATTCCGTGCCGTTCGACACGAGTCAAAAACAGGGGGTGTGAAAGAAAAGTTCGCCGTTGCTCGTTTTTATTTGTCAATAGGTTTTATGTGTGTTTCCAGCTAAAATTTTATTTTCACCTTTTCTACTATGCAATACTCGTTCAGTTTACTTTTTTTTGTTCTCTCACTCAACTTCTACTTGTTCTTCTAGTAGACTTGTTCTTTTTTCTCTGGTGGTGTGCAACTTTTGAAACCGGAAAATAATAGACGAATCGACGAAATTGGCCCGACGCGACAAATTCGAAAAGCGTATTTTATTCACGGTTTAGTGGAGAGAATCAATGAAATGAAATCGATGTGCATGAGAATGGTGCGGTGATTGCCCGATGGTGCAAAACAAACTACATTCTTGTGTCCAGATGGAAATCTAGAATTCGACACTCTTTTCATTACTTTTCCGGTCGATATTAAGGAAAGTTTTGAGTTTTGAAACTTTTTTTTCTCGTTCTCTTTTGGTCGTTGTTTTTCATTGCTCGTTCATTTCGCTTACGGTAAAGACAGAAAAGAGAGCAAGAAGAAAAAACACGGGATGTATGAACCGAAAAGGTATAGGGAATCTAATTTCGAAGCCATTCAAGAACAATAATTCCTTTTCGCTTCAGTGTGACAACAATGAAAGCGAAAAAGTTTCCGCTTTTTTATAAAACCTTTATTCCCCATTTGTAATACCATAAGCATGATTTACAATTTAAATTTGCATGGCTTTTTGTACCTTGGTGTGTGTGTGTATGTGTGAGCGCCGCTACACCTACGTTGATTGTGTCCAACGCACGTTTCATTGTAGTTCCATTGCTATTCGACATTCGAAGACGGAATATTTGAAAATGTAATTGATGAAATTGGCATTTCGCACGTTTCATCGATAATAATCGAGGCTTTATTGACATTGTTTGTCTTTCTTAGCCTTTCATGGGATTTGATTTGATTCAGCAAATGGCGTCGGAACAGAAATGCGATCTAATTAGCTCAATTCATTGCGTTGGTTGCTTGTCAATAATTTGCACCTTTTCAAAAGGCCACAGACTTTTTGATGGACTTGAATGATGTACACTGTACACACATGAAATAACTACCCAAAGTTAAGTTCACTCTACGCTGAAAGTATGCCAAGTGCAAGTAGTATAGTATAATTCATTTTATGCTTCTTAGACGCCCGCTTAGTTAAAAATGTACTGAAGATTCTGTGTAATTTTGGTGTGAAATAAATTAAGTTCAATACTATTTGTTATACAATTTGTTATGTATTTAACTTAAGGTAAATTACGCCGGAGTTATGCCATTTTCAACTTAGCGGGCGTCTAAAGAGCTAAGAATGAATTATATTAGGTATACCTACTTAAACATAGCATCGTTTCAGCGTAGAGTAAATTGATTGGTTTCTCTTGGGTAGCCTGTGAATAAAGTCTCTTTTATTTGATCAAACGAATGATTTTCGTGATTTCAATAAAATTGTTCTCAGGAGATACGTCTTGTTCTTATGCTTTTGATGTTATTTCAGCTCAGTTAATCTCTTCGGCAGACACAAAAAATTTCATGTTCGCATTCAATGCGTGTCTAGATAGTTTGATGTATTTGGTGCATTGGACTATATCAGAACATATTTGTATATACACATATATATCTTAATTCGACAGCACGGCGTTGTTGTGTTAGCCAAGTTGCAAGTTCGTATTCAATTTCACACGTCGAGTATTCATTTGATATGAACGATGCCATAAGTTATAATCTGCTTATACACTTTATTATGATTAAATTTATTATTATTTTTGGCACGTATTCATTTTTTTCTGTAAACACCCTCCCCTCTCTCTTAAGGTGGTTCAGTTTTTGCCTATCTCCCACCGGTACGCTGCTCTTTTTTCTCCGGTTTGATACGAAAAACGAAGTGAAGTTTGAGCGCGAGATTTGGATTGCAAGCGCGAAATATGAAAACAAAACTCACCACAGAAACCAAATCCATATTGGCATTAGCTGAACAGAGCTATAGACTACTGCTCTACGTCGTAGACACATTTAAAAAGCATTGTATATTTCGATGGGCAACCAAAGTATGGGAAAAGCACATCGACTCAGCACAACACACAAATATCGTGTAATAACATGTGCAAAAACTTTTTCATAATACAGAATCAAAGTAATTTAACTTTTCTTATTATTATATTAGAACGATTTTTTTTGTTGTTCTGTTCTTATTGTTGTTGTTTTCGTCGATGTTGTTCAACTGGAAATCGTGGACGCAAAACGAATGTACTAATGCACGCGTTACACGTAATAGTTTCGCTTGTCTATCATGTAATTTTTTTTCTTTTTCTCTCTTCTGCTATAGGTTCTGTACGAGCGATGAAAATGATGTATTAACTCGAACATAAAACAAAGTTGCACACTGATTCGTCTCCGGAACTTTTCGGTTGTTTAGTTATAGAGGTAGAGAACGTATGCTCTGAAGCCGAAGGAAATGGAGTTTGTTTATTCGCAGTCATAAATACATTCGCAAAACAACGATTAAAATTTTTAATGTCAATGCAATATGGCATCTAGTTTGCTCGTTTCGTTTCGGAATGGGGTTGAACGGCAGTAAATTGTGAAATAAGCAAACACATGGGCGATTGTGTATGTTGCAGATTTGAATTTTGCGCATCGTAAAGCAATAAAATTCCAATTAAAGCACATACGATACATAAAGTCCAGAATATAGTCCATTGTAAAATGTTATTAATCTCCAAGCTCAGTGATCGAATTAAAATGATTGTTCGCAATGGCCCAATACAAATACGAATCTCGCTCGGGCTGGATCGATATCCAGTGTATGGATGCGATGGCAATGCAATATGATGTGACGTTATGAGCTGTTGAAAATGTTGGCCAAATGTCGTGTTTCATTGACGTTGTTGTCAATATTTCGACATTTGGTGGTGCATTCCGATTGGTCCTGGTCGTCAGTCACTCCAATATTTATTCAGTAAATTCTCTCATTCAGACAGGGTGCTTACTGCTTAATTAATATTAAGTGGATTACGGACGATTTTATTGATAAATTTCATTAGCCATTTTGGTATTTGCTAGTAATAGAATAAACACGACAAGAGTATTTTCCATTTATCCTGTTTAATCTGGATATTCAATGTTTTGATGTTGTTGCTGTTGTTGTTCTTTTGCCGTATGTGTTAACATTTCGAATTGTTTTTGCATGGTTAAAAGCTCCAATGTGATCATTTCATTCACAGCTTAATAACTTTATGATGCAGCTTTTTCGTGCTGTGTTTTTATGCATGTGTTGAACAAACATTCTTAACATTTATGGCAACTTTTTGAAGATATTTAGCCACACATCGGCACGGCACATATACACAGGAAGCGATAGTGTGTGTGTGTGTGTGTGTGTGTGTGAGAGAGATAGAGGGAGAGAGAGATGGGGGCAACCAAGCGTCTGCCTGGCGAGTCTTTGTGCCCCTGTCTGATTATTCAATTCAGTATCGTTGAGTAGTCTATGTGGATTTGCTCTGTAAATTCAATTCGATAAAAGTTCAAAGTCAGCAACGCGACCGCACCCATCCTGTTTTTTTCTCGTTTCTTCTCGGGATGAAATCGTAAGATTTCCAAATATACAGACAAAAGCTGTAAAACACTATTCATGCTATACCATATTTCCCTTCATTAGCACATTAAACTTTGGAGGAAAACCACTTTGTACATAATTTAATGAATTGCCTTCGCTATTCGAAGTAACTGCCCGAACGCCAACACATTCCACTTTTACCATATAAATATGTGTGTGTGCGCGCTTCAAACTCCAACGATATAAGTGTTTAATGGATTAATAACTGCATGCATTAAACTCTTTGGTACTCTCTCTCTCTCTCTCTCTCTCCCTCTATCTCTCTCTATCTCAAATTTTCCTGGAGCGCAACAAACAATGCCAACACTCCGTTGTGAAAGAAAATATTGCAAATTGCTTCATGTTATGGGTATGCATTTTCGGATGTTCGCAACCAAAAGCACTGACTGTACGTAGTTTATATTTTATGGGGATATTGAATGAATAATTCCACTTAATGATACATATTTTATTCGCTAATTAAATTATTATCGAAAGATAACTGGTGAATGCGAATATGAGGGTGTGTTGTGCATGCAGTGTACGCCGCACTGCTCGCAATATGTGAGCGCAAAAAGAGCAAGGCGATTTAAAATATCTGCTCACTGAGTTAAATCAACAGTGACATGCATTTTGTATGCATATTGATGATTTGTTTATGGAGCCGATGAGATTACCGTGTATCTGACATTCAACTGATAGTATGTATATAATATATGTATATATTCAATCGTTTTCATTGTTATGTAGGAAATACTATAGTGGCTTGCATCAAGTCTATGGGCAATTCGCAATTGCCTTTTTTTATATAAATTAAACAATTTGATACTATTTTAAAATGCTGAAATGAGATATAACCAGGAATCGCTATTTCCCATTTCCACCATTTATAAATAGAAACGTACCTGGCATTTTCCTTGAATGCACATATCTAAACTGCCGATTCTGCACCTGGTACCATCTTGAACTCGATTGCTCAATTGAACGATAACACTTGGCTCTTCGTCGCCGGTTGCTGTTCCAGTTGCAGCGTCCGAATCTCTGTCCTCATTGGTTGCTAAATGCACTGGTTTACCTCTGGAAATAGAACATGACAACAATATTATCGTTTGTAACAACTGTTAAGAATATAACCAATTAAAGCATTCGCTACGTATTTGCTATAGCATATAGCAGACAACTTATCATCAAGTGGTTGAAAATATTGTGCAAACATTTTTATCATAACTTGAATGAAAGCGCCACTAAAACAACTAGAAAATGTCTAAATTTCAATTGAAGTAAATTTCATTATTTTGTATCGTTCGAACGACTCGGTTAAATCTCAACATTTTGTGTGTGTATGTGTGTGTGTGTGTGTGTGTGTGTGGCATTGAAACGGGATGGAGAACGAAAATTCCGAAATAGAATCAGAACTATTTACATTACAATTCTACTCTGCGTTCAATTCAACAAAACAATGGTCGTTGTGGTTTAATGCATCAATTTGTGGTTTATTTTCCCTATTATTTTCAAAAAATTTCAATTCCACTTGAAAACAAATGCCCCAATCATTCTGTATTCATAAATACGTATGATCGCATTTATAAAACACAATGGACGGAATAAAACACCCACACACGTACACGTACACACAATGTATTCTATGCAGTTTGGGTAAACGTGCACCGTACCCGATCTATTTACTCTCTTTCCCTCTTGTTGTTTCCTTCTGAAAACTGGCCATATACTTTATGCGTTTTGGTTTGCGCATTCATGAATATGTTTATTTCCGATCGGTTTTGTTCTAAGGCTTGTTAAGCATTTAAAGAAGCATTGTACCGATTCATCCTTGCCCATTGTAATACTAACACATAGACTTGCTGGAATTGAATAAATAAATTTTCAAAGATTTCACAGGGGAAGCTAAACCCAGAGTCCACTTGGAGTTATGGTGCTCCGATTGAGATGCTTTATTTATGATCATCATGACCTCACATAATTTAGAAATGAATATATCTTTTTCGGACCACTTTAGAAAAGTGTTATTCTTTGAAGTAAATTTAGTTTTGGAAAATTCCGCATCCATTTCGAATCGATAAATGATGATATGGCTCTTTGCATTTTTGCTATTGTTGTGTGGTAATGTTTGTGTACATATTTGCGGAAACTATTCTGAGCATAAGGCAAGTTTATGAGCATTCCGGTTCAACCAAATTTATTGGCACGCATCGAATTGTATTCTCGTCAGAAATCGCTCACTCGTAAAGTGTGCCAATAGGCACTTCACATGGTGGCTTCCTTGGGTATAAAGTTTAAATGTTGTTTTCTCGGCAGCATAACTATACTGAACCGGCAGACGTAGGAATTTCAGTGCGATTTAACCGTACGCACTCGTTTGTCGTGGCAAGACCAAAATAATAAATGCAAACAATTCAAATTAATGTTGTTTTGTTTTCGGTTGCTCTCACGAAAACTCAACTACTCCATCCTGTCCGCCAAAAAAGTAAATTTTTGTATTTCACTTTACGTCTTCTGTGAATTGAGCCCCAAAATTTAATTGCAAAATTTAATAATGTACAACGGCATTTCCAAATCGTGCAACCTCCGTCTACAGAGATTTAGATTTCAGTATGGTGGCATGTTTTTAATATTTATTTGAGTTCTATTTGCTGGTTGGATATATATGCTCTAAATCGACTGAGTTTATATGTGAAACCGACACTGTGCAATATTCATGATGGCCCAAATGGAATTTAAGAAAATGGACGAAACGTCGGAAATCTCGACGGACTAGAAAATCCAAAGCATTCCGAAATCGTCTCGAAAAACATATCAATGCAAACTCATTAAAATATGCCTCGGAGCTACTGCTCAATTCATCACCCAAAAAAAAAACTCTTTGTGCACATCTGTATGCAAAACAAGAACGAACATTTTTGTGTGCGCCTCCACATGCTCATCGCCCCGTTCCACTTCCATACGAACGATTCGCTCTAAGTCTAGTTTCCAGTTTGAGCATAAAATCTTACGCAGGGTGAAAACGAAACGTTTTATATTTTTTCCATCTTTTTCTAACTATGAACCGTTGTCGGAACATTGTAATTTGATATGATAAAATACATGTCACATTGCTGCGTCCTATTTACATTCGGTTGTAATTTGAGGTGAAAAAAATAAGAAGAGATAGTTTACCTGCATGTTAAAGCACACGGCTCAGAATAATCATAGTGTGGTGTCCATCTGAATAGACTTCCATCGTAGGGAATATCATCAAAAGCAGCACACTGATGAGCTCGAAAATCCTGTGCTTCGGGGCATGGCTGAAAAAGAAGAAATGAGAAGCAACAAAGATTTTTTTTTGCATTTAGTTTAGCGCTTTAAAAATCTACAGCAATCATGCAATAAAACCGTTGGAATATGACTAAAACGAAAGCCAAAATGAAAAATAAATGTTGTTAAGGTAAAAATATATGCTGACACTAATATTAAACGTATCGCTTAGTGCTACCAGCAATTTTATACACATTTCTAATAATTGCAATGACGAAGATAGTAACCGAGAGGGAGGAAAAAATAAGCATGAAGAAGCTTTGATCCGACGACAAAACGCGATTTTACCTTGAAACCACCTTGAGAGACACGACAGATTAATCGAACAAAGCCATTTAACTGGATTTTTAAACGACACTTTCAAAATACAGCGCATCCGTTGTTCTTCATCTTCTTCTTGCTTGCGTATTTTTTTCTTGTTTTATTCGTCTTGCAACATTGTCAGTCGATGGTCGTTTCATGTTCAAAGCAAAAGCAAACGCAAACCATTTCGAATTTGTTGCAAACGATCGAATACAAAGTTATTGGTGTGATTTTTCTTTGGCTAGAAGAGAACGACTTGCTAACCACCAGTCGTCGCCGTCATCGTCGTACGTGTACAAAATGCGCAATGTCGTTTAAGTGCTTGGCTGCGGTTGGATAATAGTCATAGAGATAAAATACTGATAAATCGCTGGCAGACTTTTTTTTCGGATGCTCTCTCCTTTTCTCTTCCCTTCGTTCTTACTCATGCTTGCTTTCGGTTCAAAAACAGCAACATAAAAAGTTGGAAAATTTCATAAAAAGTAATTTTTCGGTGGAAGAAAATATGGCACGACGGGTTGGCCACGATGCCATACATGTTTTCCGTTGTGAAGACACACTTCTATCGATTATCCCTTAATCGTTCCGAGCAGATAAATACTGAAGAGTTTATTTTTCGTTTTTATCACATACTTAAAAATTTCACCGATCGGATTGTGGTGGATTGCACAAAGTTTCTACATCAAATGGTTTCAATCATCAGATTATACATATCGTTGAATATGTGCAAATCGCTTTTGCATCGCCCGTGTGGATTCTAACGGAAACGTTATTCTTTCATTCACCACGAATACATCTTACAATCCCTTTCCATGCATATAGCCTGCAAATGAAATCACACACATACACACGATGAAAATACACGTATTGAAAGAAGGTTTTTCGGTTATGCTTGGGAACATTACTCTTTCACTCCAGACTTCCGTATGTTTGCTTGTGTGTGCATGTGTATGAGCCCACACACTGTGGGTGCATTGGTTTTGGAAGCTTAAGTGTAAATGTTGAAATTCAAGACTATTCAACAAATATTCTGGCCCAGGCACTTTCAATATTTTCCTAGAAAATGTTGCTCATGAAATATCGTAAATAATCAAAATTCTAATAAGTAATTGATGATGTAGTTTGTGACGATAGAGTGAATCGATACACTTTTTGATATTTTCAATTGAATGCGGTGAAAGTTTTGGTGTTTATTTTTGCTCTCGTTCGTTCTCTATGTAAACTGTACTTATTTGCTTCTATACGGTGAAACCGTCTACAATTGACTTAAATTGATTCCATTAAGACATTCAAAACGCTTCAATTTACAATAACTTCGAGGGTTCTAACCAGCGAGTTAGCCATAGGGGTATTGCAACGACCATAAAATATATGTATTTCATCAAGTTTATCAAGCTCTTTCCAAGTTTATGCATAGTGCCGAACTTTTGTTCAAGCTCTACCATCAGTAAAATAATTTACGGGCACGACGTAAGATGGCGTTTTTTCTGGTAAAAAAAAGTTGCAATATCCCTTTGGAGTTAGCAAATATATACTCCATGTGATTTTGAGAACTCATCGAAATTTTCGATAAAGTAAAATATTTGCTGAAACTTTTTCTGCACTGCAAGCACTTTTGTCGTATTCGTCCTTGTGCCAGAGCATTTTTGGCCCTAAATGCAATGCCAAGACTTGGCTTTATGCCATTGCTTTTGATGTGTGACGCTTCCACGCAATCGATCCTGTATACTTTCTTCTTGTTCATCAAATATCGATGCAGTCTCCCAACTTGGAAGTCAACCAAATCTGGTAATAACCGACAAACATGTTTAGCAAAATATTAATTCCAATAAACGACTCGATATTTTTTAAATTAATTTTCTTATTCGTTTGCAAGAATGTCATGAATTCTGCAGATGACCTCAATGGATCGTTTTAATGCATAAAACGTCGTACAACTGAGAAAAAAATGAAATAAACTGTGAGGTGCCTATTTTACAGTCCAAAGTAATTCTGTTCAGTTGAAGAAACTTTTGCTTTTTATTTGCTGGTGAATTTGTGAGTCGGAAAAACTTTTTGAATGGCCAAATACCATAAAAAGCATCCTGTTCCAACTTAAAAATTGGAAATTCCTGAAAGTATCACAAAATGTTCCCGTCGTAGTCTTACTGCCGAATGTGGTAACTAATTTGACGCATACAAACTGTGAGTAAATACATTTAGAGCACAAATTGTGCGACAACTGATGCTATATTTTTACATTCATATCAAGCTTTTCAACATAGATAAGTGGTATCATTTGAAATTAAGAGTCTTTTGTGTGTAAATTTATTTTTTTTTGTGGGTGACAAAATCATGCTTACCTGCATATTACAGATTCTGTAGCGGATCGGTTCACCACGACAATGGGCTGAGTGACAGCGTCGTATTTGTTGTGCAATACCGCCGTCACAACTTCTCGAACACGTCGACCAGTTTGTCCATGCGCTCCATCCATTTTTGCCACGTTTTTCTAGCTCATTTTCAGCGGTATCTGGGTGTGAAAGCCAAGCGTGGCCGCCAAATGTTTTATTACTATGCACATTTTCTAGTTTAATCAGGTTCAGCTGTTGCCTTTGTATATTGTGATGTCTATGATGCTGATGCTGATGCTGGTGTTCTCTTGTGTGTCGCTCCTGTGACGCAACTGTGGAAAAAACACACAACAAAATACCCTGAAAATAGACACGTCAAATTTCAAATTAAAAACCGATCGAAATTGTTTGGAATACATGCAGAAAAACGAACTCGAGAGAAATATTGAATTTTCTTCCTTAATTTATTTTTGCTTGTCGTTTTAAACGGTTGCTTGCTGTATTGTTCGTACAAAAAAGTTTAGACATTTCTGGCATTTTTAATAGATTAGCAGAAGAATGGAAGTTTACGTTCATTATTATTGCCGTCTCAATCGTTCGGCAGGAACGGAGAATGCTAAAAGGGATTGCGACATGGGGCAACTTGTTTTCGGCATCGACGCAGGGCTTTCTCATTGCCGGAAATCTATTGAGTCAATATTATTGTAGTTATCTTGCTTTGCTTCTTTCAGATTCTTTAAAAAATTTACGATTCGTTGACGGGAAACGACTAAGCACAATGTGCATCTGGCGAAATGGCATTCAGTATTCGCCACGCTCCTTTTTTCCCTTCGCTTTATTTTCAGTTTGATTGATTAAACCTTCCACTTTAAATTCGAATAAACTTTATGAATTTTTCAAATTGCACAATTCGTGTTCGCATTCGGATTGGTCATATAAATACGGAGAGGTATATAGCTGAACTTATGCACATCCATCGAATAAATAAACACTCATTCACTCACTCACTCACTTGTACCTTATAATCCGATGTGATTTGCACGGGTACACTCGCACACATACCGTTGCCAACGTATGGATGTAGTGAATATGGCATAGTGACATAGACGATACATAAAAGCTTCATAATGGAAATGTCAATTACCTCTTACTTCATTTGGAATTGAGGTAGTGGTTGTGGCGGTGGTAGAAGGTAGAATAACAACCGAAAACTATATGTAAGTGTGCATGTGTTTGGATAGTTCAAGTTTTTCTGGTGTTTGTGCGCAGACAGCAATATTTGGGGAACGAGCGCAAAACACAGAAAAAACTTTTGAACGAGGTTAATCGCATGATTCAGAGGGGGACTTGAAAGAGAGATAGAGACATATAACTGATATATACGGCAATTCGCTTCAATACAGACAGAAGATAACGAGGTGTAAAAATAGAATCTGCCATCTCGCTCCACCAAATTGAGTACATTGCCATGGCCGACAATGTGTGCGCTGTACATGTTTTTCATACCCCATATGCAAAGCATTAGGGTAAGGGTTTGTAAGTTGAGCCAGCATGTAAGTTGAACCACCCATGACATTTCATATTACTGACAGTAGAAACGTCAGAATACCAATTGACATCGTCATCAAAACGAAAAAGATCAATTTTGGTGTAGCTCCCGATAGAAAGTACGCTGTTTGAGTGCTCTAACCACACACCGAGTGATTTAGTAGTAAATATAATTAAATTTAATCGATTTGCCTGTGCTCTTAAAGTGAACAATTTGCATCGATATTTGAAAGGTATAAATATATGTTTGTTAGCTAATTTTTTGTCTATTTTCATAATCCGATCTCAATTCCAAGCATATCGTGAGTCATTACAATTTTTTTCATGCATTGTGCAAAGTCATCAAAATTGTAAGTTGAGGCATTCAATTTGTTTGCTGTGAAAACATGCCGACGACATGTTCATGCGTGCGAATGTTTGGAATTGTCATTGAAACAACCCCAAACTAAATTTAGTGAACTTAAATTGAATTTTACATGATTTTAGTTCGAAATTTTGATACTAAAATGTATGGCAAGTCGTCGGAGCCGGCCAACTGATCGTGGTATATCCGATTTTAATGCATTGCTCAATGCAATTAGGCAAATTAGAATGAAAAAACATCAGTGAGAAATGTTGCTACTGCGTACAACATCGATCAGGCTTTGTTATGCGCTAAATCCATCACGCTGAATAAATTCATGCGATAAATGTGATGCGCTCGCTTTGCGGTGAACGAAGTCTGTTGCTCTTCAGTTGTTCACGCATGAACGTTCATGCTTTGCAGTGAACGCATCGCTAAGCGGTAGTGAAGAGCAACATACCTCATTCACTGCAAAGCGAGCGCATCACATTTATCGCATAAATCTATCCCATGAATTTATTCAGCGTAATGGATTTAGCGCATAACAAAGCCTGACATCGATCGAACAAGTTTGGGGCGGTACATGAAAAAATTCTATGATTTTGAATGATGTGCACCCAACACCAATTTTCATCGAAAATATAGCAAATTTGCCGTTATTTCTGTGTTCAATGCCAATAAAACTAATGAACATCCAATTTAATTTCATAAATTTTGTAATTGGAGCGTTTGCACTCAATATTCTTTACTTTTTCAGTGATTTTTCATTGTGGCTCAACTTACAAGCCTTAATTTTTTTCTGCCGATTTCAAGCCACTTGGAAAATTGGCCATAAAAAATATTTTTCCACTAAATCAAATAAGTTTCTTCATCAAAAATGTAGCATTTTAGGTCCTCTTAACAACGGTACCAGCACATCTAGGATAATTTCATTCTGTGAAAAGATATGAGCAAAATAATTATCGTGGTTCAACCTACAAACCTCTCCCCTATCATTTCATTTTTATTTTATTTGGTTGAATTTAAAAAATATAGTCGCATGCGATGAACATTGTCAGTATTGTATTAGAGACCTAGGTCTCGCACACTGTGTGTTACGGAAGAGTTTGGTTTTAAAGTTACGTATGCATAACATCAATTGTGTATTACATTCAGACAACAACAGTAACGATGACAATGCGATTGCAAAAACAACATTGATATGGCTGAGCCGAGCGCGCCTGATGTGCATTGTGAGCTCCAGTCTATATTACACACAGACAATGCTCACGCATATGATTACACAGAACATTGAGGATGAAAATGATGGTAAAAATGCTCAAAGTTGAAAACATTTCGAGCATTTGTGAGATGCTATTTTGGTGTTGGTGTTGTATATGTGTATGTTCAGGTTGTGCCCCACGCAGAACCGTGAGCGAGCAAGGATTGAACATGTGCTTTTCATATGTAAATGTATTAGTGTACACAAAGAGGATGATGATACGAAGTCAGTGAATTTCGACATTTTCTGCCATTTCAATGCAAATACGAAATCACTATTATGGCATGCCGATACAGATCCAGTCGATGTATTCTATCCAAGTGCACCGTGTGCATTGTGTACTGCAACAGATAGACGATTTATTTATTTATAACATAAGTGCGGATAATATGAGAACAAGTATTCATTCTCTTCGGGCTGTCTTGTATCGTAAAATTCCAATTGCCCGAAATACAATGTTCTTGCTGTATTCGGTTTTCCAAAAAATCCATATGATTTCACGTTTTAGCTCTCTCTCTCTCTCTCTCTCTTCCTCCCTTCTTCCCTCTCACAACGAATTTTATAGCTTGGCAATTGTCATGAACAATTTATGGACCAAAAGACAGGGAGACAAATTTCATAATATACGTATTCAAATTTTGGCTTGTGCATCAAGTTTCAAACCATACAAATAAATACAGATGCTGATGTTAATGGCTTTCGAATACAATTCCATACAAACGGACGCGTCGTGAACACAAAAGCCGTGCCATGCACAATGGAATGCTTTTAAAGCGGCCATATTAGTGTCCGTATGCACAATGCACCGAACGAGCACTGTATTATCGAAGTGGGAAAACTTTTCAACCGATATCCATGCAAGTGCAGATCCATACAAACGATATGATAATATTTATTTAATTTCAACCGTTCAAATGTGACGAATTCGATGGTAGAAACTTTGAAAATTCGATTCACTATTTACTCTTTGAATTGCACTCAATGTGAAAATATTGAGAAACACCCACCGCAGAAATTGAATCTTAGAATATAATTTGGAATGGTCGCTTCACAATTTTAACGACTTATTCGAATTTTTATCAAGATTTCGATTACTTCATGACAGAGATATAAAGAGAAATAAATAAATTTACTCACCAGCACAAGCGATGAATCGTTTAGTAGAATCATTTTCATCTAATTTCCATAAAGAATAGCCTGAAAATAAAACAATATTCACATTAAAATTGTCATGTTGGTTTATGTATTTATATATATTCATCAACTTTTGTTCGCAAATTGAAAATGTGTTTCATTTCATTGCACTATATCGTAGGCATTTCACTGTACACATAGGCGCATGTGTAGTTCAACAAAATGCCATAAAAAATCGGGCTACGTACAATATATTTTTCATCAGCGAGTTACAGAATTGAAGCGAGTCTATAATGTTTGTGTATGTGTGTATGTGTATATGTGAGTGTGACATTTTTTGGATGATTGAATTCAAGCCGGTCGTTTTTCATCAATTAAACCGACAATTTCTGTTTAATCATGGCTTATTATTGAATTATTTCTCTGCATTTCAGTTTCAAAGCGAAATAAATTGAATGTCAACCACGAACATGCCAATATCAATTTTTCGACGGCGAAATTTTTGGTAATGCATGCTTTAATGTGCAGTAGTTTAATTTTTGTGTTTATTTAATGGTCTAAAATTGTTGATTTCAAAAAAATATACACAATAAAAAATAAAAGTCTTCATTTAGGTGGAATTTCAGCTTAAGACAAACTCAGTCGATATTTCTGCTAGTAATTGGGGCCTTATTTAATACGGAACATACATCTTGAGCGCTTCTACCAATCAAAATTCCGCTTAAATGTTGACGATTATTTTTACTGTGTAACATGTGTTTGAATTTTCTCGTGTCTGTCCAGTCTATTGTTATTTTTGGCAAAATATTCAAATCCATGTGACCACTACTAATTCCAGGAAAGTCTTATGCGGTTAGACCATGTATGGTTGAAACGTATCCGATTGATATTATCGTAAACACGATTTTTCGTTTAGTGGACATTACAAAGTTGTGCACATAATTGTTTGTTTAAAAAAAACGAAACAATAGCTGAGCGTGTATGTGTGCGATAAAAAGTGCATTCAATGTAAATTATTTGAGGCTTCTGATTATTGATTCATAAGTTGCATATACATTGTAACAACCACAAAGATGATTTGATTTCACCTGGGATGTGCGTCGAAATGTGCAATTTCCGATAGACGATTAAATAATTAACTTCAGGCGATGTAACATTATTTTTTGAAATCATTCAAAACCGAATATTTTATTTGAGAAATAGTTAAAACAGTGAAAATTTAACTGAAAAATACATTGGCAAAAACGGGTTGAGAACTGTTATGAATATAACCAAAATCGAACTTTGAAGATTTCAATCATGATTCACAATGACCATTCGAAATACATGAATTCAACGTGGAACAATAAATTATTATTTTCAGTTTGGTAGGGTTCACATGTACAAGTCGTTTGGATGTGCGCGCACAAAAATTTAGTCGCAAAGAATTGATTTTGTTGTTTCAAAAATAGAAAACTTCAAACCGTAAAAACCGACTGAATCAAAAATTGTCATGCAAATGAATTACGATGCCCTCGTGACAGTGAGCATGGCGAAGCTCATGCCAGCTAGGTTGGTTATAAATCAAGTGAAGTGTATCATGTTGATTTCAGCTGTACGTGATTTGGAGTGCATTAATGCCATTCTGACAATGAGAGACATGGTTTTAAAATGCAACCATTTATTCAATTTCATAGTGAATGGTTTTGCATGGAAACAAAATTGCAGCAAAAATGGAATGGCGATGCGGAAAAAAATGAACGAACGAGAAATGCTTCAGAAGCGACAGACTAAAACGAGCACAGAGAAAAAACCATCAACAACGAACGCTGGATATTTTCCTAGGCTTAGCTGATGAAACATGGAATGTGCCCGGATAAAACTGAATTCGTCGATGGCAAACAAATATTTCATGTTTCTGTAGAAAATCCTCTGGCTTTTATTCACGGAAATTTATGCCGAATGTTTACCTCAAATGGCAATTGAAATGGTTTTCATCTGTGCACATAATAATGATTGATATTCAGAATATTAAACACCATTTCATTCAAATTCAACTGTTATTCCATTTCCCCACTATCAGTTTGCCGAAGAAAAAAACAAAACAAATTGTTCAAACTGAATTCATATGAAAATTCAATCTTTTGTTGCCGAATGAATCAACAACAGTCGAATAGCGAATTAGGAAAATGTAGAAAAGTTTGTGATTTTGCTTCGAAGCTTCGTGCAGATTTCTCATAATAAGTGCAAATTAAATTATATGTAAACATTCAACTATAGTCTAAAAACTCCTAAGCTTACTCCACTTTTAATTGCATCATATTTGTCGAAAATAGTTATGTTTTCAGCGTCAGAGTTTTTTCAAACGCATTTTTTATATGTATGTATCAGCATTGCAGGTTATATCCATTCATTCAGTGCTCAAGGAGTTGTTGAATTGTACCAACCACGATTTCGTATTTTTTTCTATTCTTTGTTCTTCTTCGATCTTTCTTGTTGTTTTTTTACGATTATTGTCCGTGTTAAGTTGTGGGTGCATTTGTGTGTGTGTGTATGTGAGAAAGAGTGAGAGAGACAGAGAGGGGGAGAGAGACAGAGAGGGGGAGAGAGAGAAGTACATATGAATTGTTGGGTACCAAAACGGGACTACTTAATAAACATGAATTTTTATGATCAGTTTGTTTACAATCTATGCTACTCCCATTTGCTGTGTAAAATATGCAACAACAACAAATGTTTGCCGTCGACAAAGTACGGCGACCCAAATTCAGAATAATCGGGAAACAAGAGTAGCACAACTCCTTCCATATTCCCAGATTCAAAATGATTTTCTTTGTTGAGTTTTTTTGTAGTCTTCAAGTGTTCAAGTGTTCGCTGAATGCAATTTTCAGAGTGCAAGGACGTGCTTAGTGTTTTTTTTACATTGTGCACTTGAAAATAGAAACAAAAGCTTTGATACACTTTTTATTCAGCAAAAGTATTAAGCAGTTTCACAGCAAAATATAATTAGATACGTTGAAAAAAAGTAAAAAAAAACGTTTGTATCGTGAAAAGAAAACATATTTGAAAAATGCTCGGGCTTATCAATAGTTCATCATTGTGCTGTGTGCATCTTTGAAGAAAAAAAACGTAATGGTATTTCAATGCAAACAATAAGTTCTAAAAGTAGAATACTATATTTGTTGATTATTGACTTCTAAGACCTTTCTAGCCTTTTCGGTTCGAGTGTGTTGGGCATGATTTACGTTTATTTGTGCTGCGATTTCAGCGAGTGATTTTTCAAGTAAACATCAAAGCCAAGCATCTTTTTTTCGAGCACTTGCGCAACATATCATCCGAAAAGGAGTGGTTGAGCCAATTATTTTCTGTTGCATTTCTTTGAATCTTATCTGTTAGGCAAAAGAAGGGAAAAAAGTAGAAAGAAAGAAGAATTCGTACAAAACCAAAGCCTGAACTTTGTACAGCCACGAAGAGTTTATCTATAGTTGGCCAACGTAATTCGCCTCTGGTGATCGATTCTTCTTATTGAATTCTATTTTTGTTTCTCTCTGATTTTGTTTTCGTATATTCCTACCATTTCTGTGTATTTTGCCAATGACTTTTGTTTCGATAGAGTACAACTTCCACTTAATTCGATTGAAAAAAAAAAGAATGATAGGGAGAAAAATGTGAGAGAAACGAAACCAGACATTTATGGATGTAGCACGAAATAAATCGTCTAAATAAAAAATATACAATCATCATGTGAAAAAGTGGATAAATAGGACTGCAAATTCACGACGGATCTTGAACGAATAGTACTTGTTCATTTCCTCTAGCAACAAAGAGAAAAAAACTGTACGCTTTGAGCTTCTAGGAAATTCGAAAACAATTTGAAGTAATCTTGTGTGAATTTGAAGAGCAGAGAACGAGACCGAAAGGTTGAAAAATTTAATTTTGAGTATTTAACTGGTTTCTCATTGGAATAGGAAATATGCTCTAGAACTTACCGTTCACTAAAGTGTATTGCATTAGATGAACCATTTACTTTTTCCCTTTTATCATGAAAATTACGCACTTTCGTAGTGTTAATAAACTCGATACATGGCATTGCATTACTTTTCCGAATGCAAAGCACGTTTGTTTGTGTATGTGTGTATGGGTACGCTCTGGAACATGACCGAATTAATCTGTTTATTGCAATAAAACGCAATTAATTAAAATTTATTGCCTCTCGGAACACATACCTCGAACTTTTGTGCAATTTACCAACTGCTGCCATCGTCATGATTTGGTATCTCAACGCCGCACACAAACACAAAGGTGGCAGCGACATGAACAGCATTATTGACACTTATTGAACAATGTGTTTAAATTCTTGCGCAACAATAAACATACGTTTTTGGATGACTCAGCATCTCAGCATTTCGTATACAGCGGAGCTTATACAGTGACTTGTGTCGTCGATATGCTGGGATATATCATTACACCAACAACAACATCATTTGCAAAATGAAATTCGTCCAAAACCTGCTGACATGGAGTGAACGCACTTGTTCATCTCGCCGGTTTGACAGCTAATGTCAAATCGATTTCTGTTTCAGTGTAGTTTTCTGTTCGAATGCAAGCGTTTTCTCAGTATGGTCCACAAAATTAAAAAAACAATTCTGCCACGAACCAGTTTCTATTTTGAATCTAACATTTTGTATTTTTTTTATTATGGAAACTCCAATATATCATATAAAACCGTAATTTTCTCTCATACAACTCAATTGAGAATGAAAAAAAATTAAATACGGGTTTAGAAAGAAAGAAAGCAATTTTTTGTCTTGTGTGCCAGCGGCATATTTGCACAATTTTATTTGGCAGAATCGAAACATTTTTATTTATTTAAAATTCAATTAATAATTATTATTTCACCACACAACACAATGACGACTATGTTTGACACTGCATTGAATACACTCATCAATGTAGTTCCCGTCAAAATGTGTGGCGTTGTTGGTTTGACATTTAATGATCGAGACTATCGCGGTGTATCCGTAGCTGCATACGAAATGCTGAGATGCTGAGCCATCCAAAAACGTATGTTTGCGCAACAATCG